TGATTCGCCAAACAGCATGCAAATATGAAGGCGACCAACTGTAAGCAGAGTAATTTTGCACTGAGGAACGAATTTGTAAAAAAAACAAATGCTCATAAGTTACCTCAACCGCAGTTACGCCCAAACCAGCATATTTGATAATGTTGGCATTTGTGTCCCATAGAGAGTCAACGGCAGACTTGCAGCCCGGCTTAAACATGACGGACGTTAAGCTACAGGTGCCATTTGTGGGCGTGTCACAGCAGGATGCAGGATAGGTAACGCCATAATCGGAAAACTTGTGCAGGCCACAGCATTTCAACTAGAAATTTTAAAGATGTCATTTTGTGGCAAATAATTCTATAGTAATTGCTCTTCGAATGCTTACGGATTTCTGCAGAGTATCCATCAAGAGGCCATCGGTTTTTCGCTGTTCCCAAATTGTTTGCACAACTTTATCCAGAGATTCACGTATTTGCACATGATTTATCCACACATAGATGATCAGTGCGATTTGGCAAAAGAACAAACCCAACATGATGATCGAGTACTAAATTTATGAAAATCCATTCCAATTAATATTGTTTCAATCACAATAATTCCCGGATCCATCATTACCGTTGTTAGGCCACAGGCATTCTCGCGAATGGCACCGCAGCAACCCAGAAAGGAGACCAGAAAGATGACACAGCCCAGGATAAGTATTATTATAGCCACACTATTTGCAGTGAAGGTTTGGTCAACGCTCGAAAAGTCCTTGATTTCCGAGACCATAAGGGAACCAAATATGATCAGCAAAATGCCGCAAATCTAAAAACAAATCAATCACAAATAAAGTAAGCATTTCAATTATTTCGGCGGGGCATGCATTGAAAATAGCATCGGTCCAGTCATAACAACATGCATTACTCATTTCTTGTTATCGCTCAATTGTCGATTGTTTCGAAACATCTGCCGCAGCTCATTTACTATAATTACGGTCAGCATTGGCATGTAATGTGTGAAAATCACGACATTCCTAGCCATTTCTCGATATGTGTGTTCACATTTTTCTCCACATAAGATAAGATAGGGCAGATATAACATATAATTCGCGCACGTAAGAGCCTGCTTTTTGCTCGTATTCGAACATCATGAGTTTATTTTACTTATTCCCTGAGATAAGATAAGCCAGCCGTTTGTATGAGTCGGTTTTTAGTCATTTCAAGTGAAATTGTATCAGTTCCCCTCTCTAGGGTGAGTGCTAAAACTTACCACAAACAATATATTAAATATGAAGAGCACATATTTAACAAAAACCCCACCGCAATCCATATTGAATAACTGTTTTCGTATTACTCGCGGGTAGCTTTAACTACGATCCGAATCGTTTCGGTTTCGACAACTAACTGAATATTATTTCAACAATTGCAAAATGTTCTAAGGAAGAGCTTTTTCTTATCTTTAAATGCGGTAAGCTTATTCAAACAGAGCGCGAGCATTAAAAAGCTTTGCATACTTTCGGGCGACACATAGAAAAAATACTAAATACCAAGTACTTATGCGGAAAAATAGCTTTGATAGGGATGTAGAGCTCACATATTATGAATCATACTTTCGGGCGTCGCATAGATAAAATACTAAATGCTTACGTAGACAAAAGTATTGACAGGGATATAGAGATATAGACCTCACATATTATAAATCATGCTCTCGGGCGACACATAGAAAAAAATACTAAATACTAAATACTTATGTAGAAAAAAAGCTCACATAACTTAACTCAAATCTAGCTTCGATCCGTTGTCCACCGGTTGATCTCTATAGATTCTCGAGTAGTAGCTAAAAACGAACAATACTTAAACTCATTTTCTTATTCCTTTCAAACTCCAAAAATCAGTTATAATTCTATATATATTTTATTATATGATAATTTAATAAGTAAGCGACAAAGAAAATCAGTTTTTTTTTGCCGTTTTAACTTAAAGAAACACTCGAGTGGAAGGTTTTATTTCTGATTTTCAGTAAGCCGAACAGATTTTTTAACTAAGGAATAACTTAACCGTAGACTTGTCTACCCGCATTCGCTTTACGCATGCAGTTGGCCAGCATGCCGGCTACGACGAAGACAATGAGCTCGTATATGCATATGCCCAGTCCGGACCATAGAACGATGTCGTTGTTGTCGCTCCAGAAATCGTAGAATTTCTGATTGCAGCCCTGGCGGGTCTCGTAAATGCTGGCCGGGCAGGTCTGCAGGCGATTCGAGTAGCCGCAACAGGTGCCGGGCACATTACCGTTATAGTCCTCAAAGCCCTGATTGCCGCAGCAGTCGAAAGTTAGCTCCAATGCGCCCATTGGATAGCCATTCGCCGCGTTGTTCTCATTCCAAATTGTGGTCACCAACTTGCTCATATCCTGCAAAAATTGCTGCCCATTCACAGCGATCCAGCAGGTGAGCACCAATTGCAGCACGAAAAGTAAAAACATCAGGGTAGCATACTAAAAATATATTGAAACCAAAATCAATCAAATATGAGCTGGCATTGGAAACCGGGAAAAAACCCACCGTGCTTGTCAAGCAGGCGCTCTGGCGCCAGATACCGCAGCAGCCAAAGAAGGAGACCAGGAATATCAGGACGCCCAATACGGTCACACAGACGGGTATGGTATTGGCACTGCTCAGCTGCTCCAGCTCGGTTAGGCGATTAAAGTTGGATAGCATTATGGAGCCCAACACAATCAGCAATATGCCAACAACCTATTCGAATATAGTTTAAATTTATTATAATACGATTTATAGAGAATATCTTAGATGCTTGCAGTTGTTTATTTGCCCCTCTACGCAATTCTCATGAATGCTACTAAGCGTCAGAAGCTTTCATATTTGTCTTAAAATTGTGTAATTTGCCTTCTAAGAAACTTTATTTCTGCTTATTTTAAAACATTTAATATAATAATATATGCCCTTCTACGCAATTCTCATGAATTGTACTAAGCATCAAAAGGTTTCATATTTGGCATACAATTGTGTAATTTGCCATCTAAGCAACTTTATATTATTTGAAAACATTTTTTCATTTTGGTGTACAAAGAGAGAAATTTGTATACCTGTATGAAATAATGTGATATAGTTGACTTGCTAATATCGAAAAAACAATGTTACATTATGATTAATGCCGTCTCTTTCGTTATCATTATTACAAAGCGGGCATAATCCATCATTGATAACGCCGCACACACTTGTGCATGTCACTCAGCTTGTATCTTAATGAGAGTACCAAAGCAATCAGTGTACATTCAAGTGACTCAGGCGCGGACAATGATAATGTCTGATAAAGCTTGCTATATATATAAAATTGCAAATAATAATCCTATGAGCCTTAGCACATGAGCAACAATTGTCTATATATATGTATATATAGATATATATCAGATACATATATTTGAACATTGTTAACTGCGAAATATGTCAGCTACCAGAGAAATATGTGCTTAATTAAAAGAAACTCGAATCATTTAAGATTAAAGATATACGACTTTGATAATTAAAGCACAAACTATTCGGTTGTCGTATGAAATACTTTTGGATTATATATAATTCGTTCTAAGCCCAATAATAAGCTATGTATTATTTGAAAAAGGACTTGTATTTTTCAAATATTTTTAACAGGCACTTCGTGATATCTAGTTGAATTATCTCGCACATTTCACTTGATTCCGTAAATAGTTAATTATGGTACGTTGTAATTAACTCACCAGAAACACAACATTTATGATATAAATGAGGATATTAAGTATTCCCGATATGCAACCCATTTTGAAGCCGTTTTCAAGGATCGTTTATTTAGTTAAATTCACTTGGCAAATTTTTGTTAGCTTTGATATTTTATCGCGCTTTGTGTACGCGTCGATTACTGTCGTTCGATTCGACTGTCCTCAAGCTGTTCCGGCCGTTATAAACTAACCGAGTCGTTGTCATATCTAGATAGACTCCCCATTTGTGTATCTTATCAGCCCGAGATAACACGAATATACGCAATCGTTGCTCTGGGTCTTCGCAAAAAGAAAAATGAAAAACAACAACAACGACGGAAAATAGCCAAAAAGTAAATATTTTGGGTACATGTTATGGCCAGAATTGATTCATTGATAAGCCATGAATCAGCTACAAGTTGTTATGACCTAATACGCACCGAGAGCCTTGCGACTATATCAATTTCACAAAAAAAAAATTATAAATACCCAAGAGTCCATCTGATAACGAGTTCTGCGAACTTTGCTAAAAGTTTTATTCTAAGCGAGTTATGGGGGTGGGAATTTTGACATATGTGTGTATTGGATATTTGAGGGTACCATTTTTATATAAATTTCGACTAAAAAAAATTTTGCCAGACTTAGGTGCCAAATTGATCTAGAGGCCCAGCCATGAACAAAGAGCTTAACCTCATGGAAATCGGGAGAGATTTGACAGAGTTATGGGGGATGGGAAATTTCAACTTATGTCTATATGGGATATTTCTTTGACTTTGACCAAAAATATTGTTGCTTAATTTATAGTTATATACAACTGGCACGACTACCAGAATACTCTGGAACCAGCCTGCCGCTACTAATATGCTAACTTCTCTCTATAAAATTCCAACAATTCTTCTTGTCTCAACCCCACACCCTAGCAAAATAGTCTTTAATAACTTCGGTGTTTATAGTCCGATCGTAATGAAATTTTCAGAGCTTAAATATAGTATAAAGTAGTGCATATATACCAAGGTGCAAGGTTCTATCACTCCTGGATGATATGGTGGCCCACAGCTGAACTATTCGTAATATGTTACCGAATTTCCATCGACGAACAGACAGACGAACTGATGGCTAGATCGTCTCAAGATACAAGACATACCCCTCTTAATAATAATTTGTATGGTATAGTTATCAACAAAACGATAAGATATTTTGCCATTTACACGCACATGCATGCATTTCTGATAGATCATAAAATGGACAGGCCACAATAAATTGTGTATCTAAAGCTAATTTGTTTATTTATGACTGTGATGAACGAATGTTGTATGTAAAATATAGACTAGATGTTAATTTAACGCTTCCTCATGGCGTTGGCCAAACAGCAGGCTATCACAAAGATGCCCAGCTCGAAGAGCGCCACAATCAAGCTGCTCCAGCTGATGAGATCCGTATAGGATTTCCAGAAATCGGTGAACGTGCCACGGCAGCCGGCACGCACTGAGTAAATGGCAGCATCGCATACCCTGTTCCTATCCGTATAGCCACAGCAGGAAGAGGGCACAACTGTATAATCCGTAAAGCTATTTACGCCGCAACATTTGAACTAAATTGCACGAAAACCAAATGATATGTTAGGTCTCACATTCCTTCAAGATATGCCAATGATCACTTACAGATATCTGCAGTGCATCCATGGGATAGCCATTGGCAGCATCATTTTGTTTGCCGGCGGCATCCACCAGTTCGCCCATTTTGCCCACGAAATAATCATTCTGCACAAAGATCCAAATGGAAAGCGCCAATTGCAGACCAAACAGTATAAACATGAAAATCGCATACTGCAAAACGAGAAGGTTAGTTAAGTTTCGAACAGAGTATCATGAGTGTGACTCACAATTGTCGTGCAGCAGGCATTTTCGCGTATGGTGCCGCAGCAGCCAAAGAACGAGATCACAAATATGACACAGCCGATGACAATGATGCAAATGGGTATGGTCCGGGCATTGAACGTGTCACTGAAGGAACCCAGGGTGCCCAGGCTGGACAGTATGATGGAGCCGACCACGATCAGCAAAATGCCGCCAGCCTGTAAGCAAATAAAATCCAATTAGATCCGAGGCAAATAATTGGGGTAGTCCATATCCTGGAGGAGCTGCTGATCAGATCCATTCCGGCAACGGATAGCTTTCCACATTGTCCACATTCCACACACTTACCAAAAATACGAGATTGAGTAAGTACAGTAAGTACTTGAACATCTTGGATAAGCAATTCATTTTGTTTCGTTTCCGTTGATTTTCGATCGATACCAAATTAAGTCCGTTCGTTGCGACAGCTCGCGTCTAAATTAAATACCATAGCCAAGATCTGGGCCTTAATAATGAAATTGTCGACCCAGCTAACCAGGCTGGGGCCCCAGCTTATCTACCCACTTATCTGGCAACAACAAAAACCATTCACATAACAACAATTCGTGGCGGACTTGTGGAAGCTTATCAATGGACCCTTATCGGATTGTACCCAAAACGGAATGCGCCGGTTGCGGATGATACTGTCAAGCCACCTATACTATTATTATTATTATTACTATTAACTAGTCGAAGGCGGACAAATAGAAGTTCATCCAGTCTGAGTCATAAACATGAGAGAACTTTGCGAACTTTGTACTCTAATCTTCAGGGTGTCCCAGTGCTAAGCCTTATGAGGCTGTTGCTGAGTCATCGATATCTAGGTCTATGTTCTGTACATTATATGGAATATACATATATAGCTTTAGCTAATTAACCAATCTAGCTCATGAGTCAAAATCGTCTTATCAAGTGCGAAAAAAGCCAACGCTACGGGAGTCCCCCAACATTTCCTAAATGATTTATTAATAACCAGCTTGAAATGATAAACAAAATGTTGTTCGATTTGCTCAAAGACGGTTTCAATACGCACCATTAAGCTTAGTTAATTACTTTATTGTCTGTTAGCGAAAGCTACTAAGCAAGAAATTAAATCAAGAGGTTCTAGTCGGGAGCTCCCGACTGAGGATACCCTGAACCCTCTTCTTCCAACATTAAATCCATATATATATATTCTATTTTAGAAGCTATATGTCAAGTTTGGTGACTCTAGCTCTTATTATTTACCAAAATTGCCCAAAAAACAGGATATCGATATCGATTTTTATCGATTGCTTGGAAACAGAGTAAGTTATCGATTATCGGAAACAAACTCTATCTGCGCGGGAACTCTCAAGTCTCCAGCTCTTATAGGTTCTGAGATCCTTGCGTTCATACATACGGACGGACGGACAGACAGACGGACATGGCTAGATCGACTCGGCTATTGATGCTGAACAAGAATATATATACTTTATGGGGTCGGAGAAACTTCCTTTTGCCTGTTACATACATTTGGATTTTGCACAAATACAATATACCCTTATACCCATTTTTAATGGGTTTAGGGTATAAAAAGCTATTCAGAAAAGGGAAATAAAATACATGCATAAAAATAGACCTGATAACTAAAATTTTTAATAGATATCACTTCCAATGGTTTTTTTTTTTATTTCCAATCGAAATAATTATTGTAGAGTATCCAGATATCATACACAAAAAGAAAAGCTTTTGTTTTTAGACTTTTATTAAATAAATTTCTCTTCAATTCTTAGCAAAGCAAAACATAAGAAATTTGTATACAAAATGTGGAAATATTTAAAATTTCATTTTATCAGCAACGATTATTTTCGAGCCCTAATTTACAGAGTATTTATGTGGCCTGTCAGCACAAACCAAAATAACCCAAGTGCTTTTTCAAAATATAGATAACAAATTGGAAGTGTCGAATATATGAAAAAAATCAAAAGTTTTCTATTGAACCAAATATTACGCTATCTTTCAATTATACTTAATATTATTTGATTTAATGAAAAAATTCCATTCACACCAAAAAGACATACAATTTATTTATAATTTTATTGCATTTTGTATAAATAATAAAAATCGTTACAAATACATTTACAGTTTGTACAGTAAAAAAAAGTTAGCACAATCATATGGAAAACAGTGCAAAGATTATGAATATAATTTTCAATAGATATTGTCAAGGTGCGTAATGTGAGAGTCGATATCGTTACTGAAATGGCCAACTGAATCATATCAACTAATAAGTAAGTGCATGATTTGTATTAAATTGGGCAACATAATTCGTACTTTCGGTTTGCATTAAAATTAGTAAGGCCTCAATGCCCTATGCTGGCCAGTTATCCCTGGAGGAGCCCATTAATAGTCCGCTCGGCGTCGATAGTTTCGAATGCTGTTCGCCAAACAGCAGGCAAACACAAAGCCCACAAACTGCAAAGGTAATTTTGTTGCATTAGCCAACGAACTGGACACAGATGATGGGATCTTACCTCAATGGCGGCAATTACCAGGCCGGTGTATTTGATAATGTCGCTGTTTCTGTCCCAGAACTCGACAAAGGCCTGCTTGCAGCCGCGACGATAGACGGTCTCCTGGCGGCAATTGTTGGTGTCCTTGCAGCACGAGGGCGGAAAATAGCCCTGGAAGGCATAGTCCGCAAAGCTGCTGCGTCCGCAGCACTCCATCTAAAACATGGAATAGCATGTCAGAATAAACTGTTGATAACCTCTGTGAGCTAGACGTACGCTTATCTGTATGGCATCCATGTAGTCGGCACGGCGTGTGCGACGCTCCCAGGCCTTCTCAACGACATCGCCCATTATCACCAGATACTTGTCCTTTTGCAGCCACATGTAGACGACCAGCGCCAGCTGGCCAATCATCAGCACAAACAGCAAAATGGAGTACTAAAAATGGGCCGAGCTACAATCATTCTGTTGAATATCCAAGCGGGTAAAGTACTCACCGTCATGGACATGCAGTAGGATTCGCGTATGGCGCCACAGCAGCCAAACCAGGAGATCAGCAATATCACCGTGCCGAGTACAATCATCGTAATGGGCACCTGTTGGGTGCGCAGCGCCTCGGCGAAGTCATCGATGTTGTGGATGTTGCTGAACAGCAGGGCGCCAAATACAATCAACAAGATGCCGCATATCTGACGAAGGGAAATAACAACAACAATATTGTTTATTGGGTAATTAGAATGGAAAGCTCAGCCGAAAAAGCTTTGGCTGATATGAAAAGCGGCCAATTCAAATAGCTGAAACTCGAATTTTCTCTAACAGTTCAATAAAAAGATACTTGTGCTGATCCTCAATTATGGGATATATCTATTAATAGTATATCTATCAGTAGAGACAGCATAGATTATAAAAGCAACAAAACAACTTCAGCCTAAAGCGCTCTGCTGCTGTAATTCACAACGAGTTAAAGCTGCGAGCAGCTGTAAGGGCGTTGTCAAAAACAGTTTATCGAACAATATTTTGTTCATTCTCTTTTTCTAATATTCTTGAGTATGGAAATTCTTAAAATAATATTGAAAAGCACAGTAAGTAGCTATGCTTATAACAAACTCTATAAAGTCTGGACGATAGGTCTGGGAGTGTAAGGAAGTCTCAGACTATTCTACATTAAATAAAGAAACTAAAAGAACATATTAATACAATAAGCCACAATTTTTCAAGTATATAGTTTCGATGAAATGTCTTCTATTTTGGGCTTAGTTTTAGGCCCTGTATTTACGATACCGCCAATTGATGGTGTTACCAAGGCTTATCATCGGTTCTATCTAATCGATAGAGGCAATCCAATTAAGCAATTTAGATTAAATGATAACCATAACAAATAAATATGCTAAAAGCAACTGTTTGCATTGATTTCGCGTGTGTGTGTGTGTAAAATACGTCAGCAAATTGTTTTTGCAATGCATAAATATGAATAAAACTTCGTACTAAATTTTAAAGCATAAAAATACAGCCAAGATAAGCCCCCGAATATTAAGAAACTTGCGTGGCAATTAACGAGAGAGCTTGAACTCGCATATTTGACCTATTTTAAAGAACGGGAAATAATCGAATTTATGCACAAAAGTCAACGAGCAGAGTGGCATTCATTGAAGATCAGACATAGATGAGCACTTTTATGAATGAGTACTATGAGTACTCGCGTGTGTGTGTGTGTGTGTGTGTGTGTACTCGTTTACTATATAACCCATAAGTCAAGCCAAATGAGTTCAAGTGTGCTGTCAACGTCGCCGCCCAATTTCCATTACAAAAATTTCCCCACAGTACGTTAAAGTGTGCGTGTGTAAATGCAATGGGCGCCTTTTTTTCGGACCCAGTTTTGAATGACTAACCGACTGACTGACTGACTGACTGACTGACTGACTGTCTGGCTGTCTGGCTGAGGAGCTGTGCGCCAAGTTCATATATAATTAAGCTAGCTATTTTAGGCGTGGACACCCTCGCGCCCTGTCGTCGCTCTATGTAATTGCGCAATTTTCCATTTGGCATTGCACAATTTTTGGCTGGGTGGGTTGTTTTTTTATTTATTTTTTTTTTGTTGCCTTTGCGTGACTAAACTACAAACTATATGAACTTTTTCTATATTACATTCGGTGTTGAGAATTTCCCAAGCCCATTTTGCATGCCATCAAAATACAAATATTGTTAAACGCTCGCTCGAAAACTGTTCTGTGGGTACAGTTTTTGCTCTTCTCTTTTTATTGGGAGTTATTATTCAATTTATAAAAAATACCATGAAAATACAAATATTGTTAAACGCACGCTCGAAAACTGTTCTCTAGGTACAGTTGTTTCTCTTCTTTTTTAATAGGTTTTATCAAAATGACATAAAAATACAAATATTGTTTAACACTCGCTCGAAAACTGTTCTCAAGGTACAGTTGTTTCTCTTCTTTTTTAATAGGTTTTATCAAAATGACATAAAAATACAAATATTGTTTAACACTCGCTCGAAAACTGTTCTCTAGGTACAGTTTTTTCCCTCTTCCTTTTTTATAGGTTTTATCAAAATGACATAAAAATACAAATATTGTTTAACACTCGCTCGAAAACTGTTCTCTAGGTACAGTTTTTCCTTCTTCCTTTTTTTAATGGGAGCTATTACGCAATTTATCAAAATACCATAAAAATATAAATATAGTTTAACGCTCGCTCGAGACTATTCTCTAGGTACAGTTTTTGCTCTTCTCTTTTTATTGGGAGTTATTATTCAATTTATAAAAAATACCATAAAAATACAAATATTGTTTAACACTTGCTCGAAAATTGTTCTCTGGGTACAGTTGATTCTCTTCTATTTTTTTTGTAATTGAAGTTTTTGGAAGTTGGCTTTCAGCAATTACAAAACAAATGAAAATGGCATTGCGAGAAACCAGTTGCCGTTGGCGACTGGTTAACCTCGGCAGCTGGCCGTGCCAAGTGTTTATAGAGACAAGAATCAAGAATCAAAATAAAAGACAACAATAGATATACTACTCTATACATACTACATACTCTATACTAAGTCAGGCACACAACAGTTGTTGAAGTTAGCCCCGATTTAGTAACAAGTTTCGCATTCCAGATGATCTCAAAAGTTGTGAGTTGTCGCATTTTTTCGGGTCAACCGGTTTGTAGGCCTCCCACCCCAACAATGTACAGTGAAGACTGTCTAAAAACAACGGTCTTGAGATTTTTGAGTGGGCTTTCTCGCCCACTTAAATATTTGAGAAATTTATTCTATTCTTAGCAACAGTTTTTGAGAAAATGTACATTCAAATAAAATTCTCAATCTATTAGCGATCTGTGTTAGTCTCCGACAGTTTTTACTGTATAGATGGATGTGTGTGCCTGAGAAAACCAGTTTTAATGTGAATTGAAAGCCTCGAGCTGCTTATGATATCATGCCAACAAATTAAGTTTGGCTCATCAAATGAAAATGTGTATGAAAGTAAAGTGCAATTAAAATGTAGAAAAAATGTTCAGTTCACTCACCGAGCACAGCAAATTGAATATAAATAGTATATATTTGACCATAGAGATTCCGCAGCTCATTTTGTTTGAGTTTGAGATTCGTTGGGACGGCTGAAGAACTGCAACTGTTTTTGTTGTTTGTTATCGCGGCACAGAAATAAAAAATATCAAGTATACGTTATAAATATATTATTGTATCATTTTTATTCAGAAGCATATAGAGCCAAAAGCACGCACATACATACATACATACACGCACACACACACACACGAACATATATATGATGCGAACTGAACAACAACAATATCATTTGTTTATAACTAAAACCAAATTCCTTCGTTCTTTTCAGTTTCATTTCATTAGCAGCAAAACACGTTCTGCTTTTGCTTTTTGCATAGTTTGGGATTTCCGTTGGATTTGTTTTTTTCGTGCAACTTAAAATTAAAATAACAAATTTAAACGTTCAACGTTTCGTTTGCAGCGCGCTTAAACAAGAGAGAACTATGAATATGAAAAGGGGGGCGTTGAGTAGAGGGCGTGGCCGCATTCAGCATTCAGCGCACCAGCTCCGGCAAGAGTTTCTGTTTGGGGAGCAGCGAGGCGCGCAGTTGATTGAAACGCTGCCAGATGAACGGATAGCGCGCCGCCCAGGCTAGCCACGCCTCCTTGGTGGCCGTGCTGGTCTCCACCTGACGCAGATGCTTGTAATATTTGCCGTTCCTTTTAACAGCCGCTGCCACATCCTGTGCGAACTTGGCAAAGCGCAGCTTGAGCAACGTCTCGGATACATCCAGCAGCCTGTTGCCCTTGGGCGGATGCACCAGGCACAGCTGGCACAGCACATAGTCCTGCGACTTGCTCTTGTTCAGCGGTATAAAGGTGGCCTCGCGTCCAACCAGACACTGCTGCAGCCAGGCGTAGCCATTGGCATTGACGCGCACGCCGGGCAGCTTGACAGGCAGCAGGCGGTCGCGACTGGTAAAGATGGGTATCAGCGGGCGATGCTTGATCAGCAGCAGCGTATCCTGATCGCGCTGCTGTATGCCGCGTATCTGGCCAGTATGCATGATCCTTTCGTTGATGATGCGTTCGGGTATGTGCGACGGCTGCTTGAACTGGCGCACCAAATAGGCCGGTTTGCGCTTCATGTAGGCGACCAGCAGCATCAGCGTGGATGTGCCATAGATGGCCAGTTCGCTGCCGACTGTGTCGCGCTCCAAATAATTACATAATCCTTGGTATTTATCCAAAAGATAGCTTTTCGTGGAGTCCATTGTGGGTTATTGATATGATTATTAAGTACACTAGCGCCTAAAATTGTGCGAGGGAAGGGTGTGGGAATTTGTTTGAGTATTTTATGCAATTATTTCAATGACATCATTTTTTACTTTGACAAACTGGCAGCGGCGGCAAACAACGCAAACGTCTTCGAATAGCTTCGTTTTCTTATATGTATATGCACTACTTATGTATATATGTACTGTGTGTACATATGTTTGGCAACGCAGTGGCTAATGTTATTCTTGTTTTTCGGTTTTTGTTATCATTCGTAGGTCTTCTTTATGTTTTGCTTTGCGTCGAAGACGAAGCAACCCGCAACTTTCACGTCAGACGGACACACTTTTTGACATTTACGCATGCCGGCGACGCCTAAGTGCAAGCGAGCTAGCATGTGAGTGCTAAACGATCTCAACTTGCTTTCCAACACTTAAAGCTTAACGTCTTGCAACACTCTCTGATCAAATACATGCACGCGCGCACACACACAACACACACACACACACACACACACACAAACGCACCTACACAGGCAAACGGAATTCAAAATACTCACACACACCTTGAGCGTATAATTTTCCGTTTTATTTTCGAGTTGTGTGTTTGGTTTTACGCGCGCTACGTTATGAACTGTTGCCGTTGTCGTTACAGACTGAGATCGGCGGCGACAACAACCGCCTGTTGCTTCATGCCGTTCGCTTGGGGTCGCTCTCACAGACGCACACGCACACACCAACGCCAACAGCGCGGGGCACGTTGGCGTTTTTGGCACTCGGCTTCCAATTGATTGTGTACCGTTTGATTGGCGCGTAGTATTTCTGTTCATGTTTTCCCGCCTCTACCCCGCGAACTATTTGAATGACGTTCGCCATCGTTGGGGGTGTACTGTATAAATGCATCAACTTTTATTTTGCTCGCTCATAGTAAATTTAATTTGTTATTTAGTTACGCTGACTTGCCCTTTGTTTGTTTATTTATGCAAATGCGTTGTGGCTTTGAACGTGATTCTCTTTTCGTTTTTTTTTTCTTTCTTTCTCTGTTGTGGTTGCGCGCCAAAACGTGTTTTAGACTTGGGGTTTTCATTGACATATGTTTTGTTTACCAATGCCTTGCACTAAGGTTTTTATTACATTGCAGGGCTTAAATTACTTAGCTCAGCTTCCGCGTTTAATAACAATCTCGAACCTGTTTCGAATTCTCAACTTTTTACTTTTGCTTGACATCGACAACAACAACAACAACAACAATGGCGGCCGCAACAACAACAACAATGGCGGCTGCAACAACAAAACTGGTTTACGTGCTACTGTAACTTGCGTAATCGAGTCGGATAAACGTGGCTTGAAAAGCCCAGTTGTTTTGTACGAAATATGCATGTCGTGGTTAATACACAAATACCTTGACAAAAAGCATGTGTATGTATGTGTGTGTGTGTGTGTGTTGACAGAACTATGACTGTGCCTCATTTTCATCTGCGGCGCGGTCACACTCACCAATTCTAATTAACGAGTGAGCACTGTACAATTAACCTCGGCCATATGTAAATGTATTTCCATGCGCAGACACAAACACAATTAATAACAACAAAATGTATTTACATGTTTTTACATGAATCATTCGCGGGCTTACTTTGACGGTACCTGCAATAATAGAATACGCTTTTCATTTGAAATAAAAACAAACGTCAGGCCTGATGCAATTTCCCAGCAGTTAAGTTCAGTTTTTTGCAGTTTTTAATGAAAATAATTTCGCCTTGCTTAATAGGCAAATTGCTTAGCCACAAATTGGCCTCGCCTTTGCCAAGAGACGTTCGCAGGCACATCAATTCAATTCCGCACAAATTCTACAGCTGCGCAAACAACTTTTGAGTATAAACAAAATGCCAATATGCACGATTATCTACAACTTCCAGCAAATCCATATTATTGAAAAGAGCTTTGATTTTTATGGGATACACATGTGGGGAAAATATACAGCTTTCATACAAGAAACTTATTTGGGTACGATTAATCCTCAGCTACAGTGATCGCTCGCAACGTGGAACTTGTGGGTTTCCGAGCTCATTAAAAAATCGCATTTCAACAAGCCTCAACACCTTCTAAACGTATAGCCGTTTCCTTTTATCCGACAAGCATGTTTCACTGTACAGGCAATTCACAGATTAGATAATTAAACAAGATTAATTGGAAAATAGGGACGCCATAGTTGTGTGCTTTATTGTGTGCTGCGGCTGCAAAGCAGCGTAGTCAAAAATCGAAATTATTTCCAGTTAAAATCGTAAAATTATGAGTGAGCTTAGCAAATTTAATATTATTATTAATACAAGCGTCGCGTGTATTGTATCTGCTGGCCATGTGAGGTCTGCCCGGCGCTGGAGCCAGCGGCCGGCTGCATGGACAGTTGTTGCCTGGTTAATTGCTGATCATAGTTATTGGCGGCGCGTCCCGGCGCATAGCCTTGCGTTATGCTGCCCGTTGCCTTGGGATTCTGCATGCAAATAGACACAAATGATTAATATGCATTTGATGGTGGATTGGACAGTATTCACCTGCGCCGCACTGGTGCTGATTTGCAGTACATTGGGATGCAGCGATAGCTCGCTCTGCATGGGCTTATATATGACACCGCCTTCGGACAGTAAATGCGGCGGCGGCGGTACATGGCTCTGTGTCGAGCCCTCATGCTTGACCTCAATGTGATAGCGATCCGGCAGCTTCTCCATGGTCACTTGCGGCTTGGACGTTTGCACGGTTAGGCTACTGGCGGCAGTCTGCACCTGCACCAGGTCAGCCTGCGATATGGGCGGTTGATCCAAATTGATGTGCAGCACCTGCATGGGCTGGGCTTTGGGTGATGGTGATTGTGAGCCGGGCGCCTTGCTGACAGTTGCACTGGGCCCAGTCTGTAGCTCCACATGGTATCCGGGCCGCAGTGGCAGGCCATAGTTGTTGTATATGGACTGTAGGCGTGCCTCTGCCTGATGCTGTGTGGTCGGTGGCGCCGCAGTCGTCTGATAGAATAGGGTACCCGTGCTCGGATACTGCGCCGTGGACTCTGTAAGCGAAATACAAAAAGAGAAAATAAGTAAAGCGTGCGGTCATGTAAGGGCCAATTGCTTTGTTAGAGTTCAACTGAGTCGCTTTAGGTGAACTACTCAAGAGTATCGATTAATATTCTTACTGTTCCATGACATTTTAGCATAGTCAGCGGCACGACGGTAGTCATCGTGTTCTGCGAAACGAATTACAAACAAATAACGAAATCAAAAGTAAATTAAGTGTATGTGCAGGTTAGAAATTAGTGCGCGCTATTCAAATGCGTGACTATGGCTCAGCCAAATCGATATAAACACATGTATATCGTATATGTTAGTAGGGTGAGGGAAGCAAAATAGTGCCAGGGCCTGTGCTGGCCAATGTTTGGGGCCTGGCTTACTCGTTTGCTGTTGTGCATAGTTGGCGGGGCTCTTGTAGTACGCCTGATGCTGCTGGCTGGGCGGCGAGGGGCTGCGTCCGCGTTTCACAGACGCCGCCTGGGTGCCCGGCGCAGGCGGCTGCTAATGAAATTTAAACAAATTAAATAATGTTTATTCTTCGATATAGTGCACATGTTTTACCTTTTGCAGTATAGGCAGCTGATGGTGTATACGACCGGAAGTCAAAAATACCTGGGCTGTGGCTGCGCTGGCCGCCGCCGCCTGCTGCATGGCCTGCACCTGCTGCAGGGCAAACAGTTCGTTCTCTTTCGCCTGTTTTTTGCGCGTTTCGTCATCGTTTAGCACCTTCTTCAGTTGCACCACCAGCTGGTGCTTCTTGTTATACAAATCGGCCACCTGCTCGTCCAGTCGGCTGATCTCACTACGTGTATCCGCTAGCGACAAATTATTTTCGCGTTCACGTGCTTCTCGCTCGCGCCGCAGGCGCAGCTCCTCGCATTGTCTTTCATACTCTGTACGTATAATATAATGGGCATTATTGTTCATTAATCATATTTAATTGCAGTTACCCTCCTGTCTGCGCTTTCGGTCGGCTAGAATAAAGCCTTTAAGTGACCCTCGCAGTTTTTCTGCACGCTCTGCAGCTGCGGCTTGCACAGCCGCATTGTTATTGTTCACCGCAGACGCTGGCGGCATCTTTGTGTTATGCTTAGTTATTTTGCCAATTTTATAAGCTTTTATGGGACAGGCACGCAGCGCGTAAATTGTGTTAAACCAAACCCAAAAAAACAGGCCAAAACGCCACAGCAGTTGGCTAAACTGAAACTGATTTATTTAATGCCCAAATGGCGCGGTGTTGTCACGTCTGCGCGCGTAATAGTTTTTGTTTAATGCAGAGCAAAGCAGGTCGAATTAGTAGTGAAATAATTGTCCCAACTTGCTTAATAACATTTCGCTTTATATGCTGCTTATTAGTTTTTAATTCTGGCCTTAAACTAAATAATAAACAATTTGTTGTTTTCAACGCACGCGGGCTGGCAACTCTGCTTGTGGCACACTATAGTTGTCTCTTGCGCACTTATGTTGATAACAGCTGGTTGCGTAGAGTTTGTTATTAACATCTGGTCACACTTAAGGCTGCACAACTATCGATAGCGACCAACTCATCGATAGTAGTAAATCTAGCAACTTGGCTCAGTTGCAGTCGAGTTTTCTTTGCGTCTTGTCACTGCGCGGTAGAAAATCACCAAAAATTCGCTTTCATACAACAAAAAGTGCTTAATAATATATATATTAGTGATATAAAGTGCAACCGCAGTTATCGCCACTGTGATTTGTGCTAAAATACGCGGGCCTAACGCTTTTGGCAGGTTATTCAATACAAATGCTGTGAAATGTGTGTTCAGTTCTTTGATTAACCCACTTTAATTTTGTGCCTGCCAATAAGATTTTTATAGCGTCGAAATAAACAAGAAAAAAAGGCGGCTAAAATAAGAGGAACCAGCGCAGCAAGCAACAAAAACTCCAACATCACAACTATGGCCAGTGAGTAATAACAGCAAGTTAGAAATAGAAATAAAATTATGCTTGAATTTTATGCGCACAGTTTGCGTAGCAGCTCCTAAAACCATTTCAGGCTGCATGCTTAATTCAGTTCTTAGGATAAACAAATGCAACTCATGCGTGTCATTGTGTGTGTGTGTGCGTGTTTGTGTGTGTGGCAATGTCTACATTTTATGTGCGCCTTTATATTTTACGAACTGCCGCTGAATGCACAACAGATTCGAGTACATACGCCCCGCTGCCAGAGACCAGGTGCTTCAAGTGTCTGTCTGTCTGCCGGCAAGAAAAGTTGTGGCAAGTGTGTTGTTGGTGGGAGGGTGGTGGGGGGAAAGGTTGCGGCAGCCTGCCGTCGCCGCCGCCGTCTTTTCCTCGGGGGAGTCATGTGTGAAAAATCAATATTTACGCACCATACCGTTTGTTGTTGTTGTTTTGCGCTGCACTTTGCACGCTTAAATGTTTAAGCCCAACCTGGTCACACTCAGTGATCGCCTTGTTACACTCTTAAACGGAATCCAATCAGCGCTTACATTAAAGTCTGAGCTAACTTAAGCTCAATCAGTTTGTCATAATTATTGTCAATTGTGGAGTAAGCATTAGCAAGCCATATTTTTGCATATCTGCAAATCTGAATAACGACTCTGTAGTCCAATTAGAAACGTATGTGGGATACGGAATTGGATGAGCAATTCATGTTCACCTTTGCTGGTCACACTTGGCGATCGTCGTTACGTGTTTAACTCTTCTACGTAATCCAATCAGAATTTCATTCCATTTAACTGTCAACCACCTTTCAGCAGCAAACACTCACCCGACGACGACTCCCATTAATAAATGAATATGCCCCTGTGAGGTGCCAGCTTTACCGGCAATACCAACAACATGCAACCCCCCTGGGGCATAACAACAAACGCACACACACACACACACACACACGCACACAAATTGTACGTGCCGGCGCACATTTAACGCCACCCCCCTCAGTTGGGTAACTGCTGCAGCTGCGTCCCATTCCCCCCCAAAACTCACTTTAGATTTTAATTGGTCCTTTGTGTCTCGCACCACCCACCATCGCAGCGCCTGGCCACACTGATAAGGCATATCGTTTGCCAGAAACACCCTGCGCTCAAATTTTGCATTCGGTTTGGGTCCTGCCTTTGCTTTTCTTGATTCTTTATTGTTATTATTATTATTTTCGGGCTTTTCATTCGTTTCACGCAGCTTTAGTCGAGATTAGCTGTGTGTGGGTTTTCCTAGTTTTGGATTTGTGATTTTTCTTCTTCTGCTTCTCCTCTTGCTTTTCTAACTGCTAATAAGATTTTTGGTCTGCGCTTAATGGCCTTGACTATGGCTGCGTAGGGGGCGGGGCGGAACTGTGCGCCCGGAATGTGCGCAATTTTAATTGAGTTTGGTCCCCATTCAAATTGGCATAGAAATTAATTTCAATTAACTCGAGCTTTGAGCTACAGACGAAGGACACGCGTTTCTGTCAGCGAAAAGTTTGAAGCATGCTTTTGGGACTGAAGCGCTGTCAGCTTGTCAGTTAGTTGGCCAATTCGCAATCAGACAGCTTTTGTTTTATTTAGGCCAAAGTGTGCCACACTTCAGGCAGTTGACAACAGCGCGCTGAGCTGCTAGAAAAGTTTAAGTTTGACATGAGGTTAAAGGTCATGCTAGCTTTAAGATATGCTAACATTATGGTTGGTTTTAGTTTTGACCAAGCTTATATTCTTTAGTCATAATTTACCTATATTTATCAAACATAAGTTAGTTTTGGGAGCTAAGGCGATGCTTTAAGTATTTCACTCACAAGAGTGAAAAATAAGTGGAAAACCTTTTTATGATATTACGTCGAAATTCATTCGAGAATTAACAATAACTATTCGATTTGTGACAAATTCATGCATGAAACTGATTTTTTAAATTCTTTTTTAAAAAATCCCTGTAAAGTATCATGCAAAGCATGAAAAAATCGCAAAATTCACACCAACCGGCGGAAAATGGGTGAAAAGTAATAATCTGGCAAATTTGCATATATCAAGCTTTGTGTGGGAGCTACTTTTGCTTACAAATTGTGCTCAAATAAATCATTCAAATGGACGTGTGTTTCGTGTCAAATAAATTCGTTAGCAAACAGGTTAATTGAATTAGTTTCGATGTGGATTGTGAATTGGAACTGTGTTTCAATTTGCTGCGACTTTATTCAAAATTAAATGTTTGAAGCTAGCTACCGCAGTTCACACAATTACACATAGATAGATACATACACAGACATACATGTATATCAAGTCAAAATTTTTGCTTACGCAAGCTGCCGCAGGACGCTGGAGCAGTGCAGCAGCCGGCGCCCAAGCCATGGACCCGGACCAGCGTCTGGCCAACGGCTGCCTGAGATTGGCCGTCGGCGAGCTGAGCGTGGGCAATTATACGCTGGCCATGGGCCTGATCAATGAGGGCATGGCACGCAACCATGGCAATCACAATGAGATCATGGCCCTGCTCGAGCTGAAGAACATTGTGGTGCGTTTGCGGCTCAAATGCGAAACGCCCGGCCAGCTAATCGGACCGACCTGCAAGTCCGCAGCGCTGCCGTATAGCTTCACCGTGGAGATGCTCGACGTTGTGCAGAAGGTGCTGCGTTGCCGCAATCATTACGAGGTGCTGCGCATCTCGCATCATGCCACCTACTCGGAGGTGAAGCGTGCCTATAAGCGTCTGGCGTTGCGCCTGCATCCGGACAAGAATCGTGCGCCCGGCGCCGATATCGCCTTTCGGCGCATCAACGAGGCGGCCGACACGCTGACGGACAATCAGAAGCGCATCGAGTACAATTTGTTAACTGCCGTTGGCGATTGCTTTGGCGGCAAGGCCAGTCTCTATGGCAAGGATGTGAAGACGGCGGGCGTACAGTATGAGCCGCACAGAGAGCAGCAGCCGGACGAGGAGCAGCAGGGGGATCAACCACGACGCAGCTACCAGCCGGCCAATCAGCGTGTGCCGCAGCGACAAAGTCTCTATCAGACCGAACAGCTGGTCATTGGACTTGTAGCCGCCCTGGTGTTCATTATCATCACGGTCCACTATTTGTCCACAGCGCCCAACTATAGTTTTACGCCCACCAGGTAAATCGGAAGAGTGTTCCAATTAGAGTTCTGCATCGGTTAATTTAGTTGCTGCAAACACGAGTACTCAATCGAATAAACCGATTCAAACCCGTTGTTCGACCTGCTCGAGTCTGCAACATGTTCGAGCTGTGTTCGAACGCAACCAAAATAGTCGAGAGTTTGAAGCGAACTCGAGCCTATTTCTTCTTGGTTTGAACTGACTGTTCGTTTGCAACTCGAACAGCTCGAGCATAAAGAATGTTCGCTTGGCTCGATGCAGGGCTCTAGTTGCCATCAACTGCAGTTGAAAATTTTCGTCGTTTACCTTGCAGCAGCCACAGCGTGCGACTGGTGAGCCGGCTCTGGCGTGTGCCCTACTTTGTGACGCCCAAACTGGCGGCCAGCCAAACGCCTAAGCAGCTGGAGCGCATGGAGTCGGAGATCGAGGAGATCTATCTGACGGAAATCAAGCACAACTGCAAGCAGGAGCGCAAGCTGCGTGAGTTTGGGGCGGGCTTACATCTCCGCTAGCTTCATAGTTACAACTCTAAATCCTTTGTAGGCGACAAGCTGTTGCAACGCGCTCGCAACACGAACAATCACAATTTGCTTGATCACGCGCTGAAGATGCCAACGCCCGCCTGCCACGCCCTCATCAAGCTGGATCAGTTCAAAAGCCAGCCGCTGCTATTGGACAATATTTCGGATAAGAATGACTCGTGGGATTAAAAATCGAAACAAAAACCAAAAAAAAAAAACAAACTGAACTCGGACCAAATCTTAAATCAGACGAAATCTTAATGTACTTCAGACTTTTACAAAATTAACATATATGCTGTACATGTATTGGGTATTATTTATAAAAAGAGAAATGTTATTTTTTTTAAAACACTTGCATAAGTTATTTATATGTGAAAAGATGTATCTGAAGAGTTATCTCTGCAAGCCAAATGGCCAATTAATTGCAAGAGGTTGGCAACTCTGTAGCCCGATAGAGCATAAAAACTACCCATGAACTACCCTACTCTACTCTCCTCGCATCAGGGAACTCGGCAACTAAAAGAGCTAGGGCTCTTAAATGGGGCGTGGTTCTAGTTGTATACCAAATGTAAACTAAGTTGACACAATTTTTATCGGAGTTACTACAAAAATCGATAAAAATCGATTTCCTAGCCAACTTATTTGCGCATATCTTAAAGCTATGATCGGCAAATTTGGAATAATTAATTTCTCGCAGTTGCTACAAAAATCGAAAAAAATCGATTTCTAAGCCAAGTTTCTTGTGAATGTCTTGCATATTTTCTTGTGGATACAGCTCAGTATCCAATAAAGTATATATGTATATATATATATATTTTTGATAAGCACTAAGCGATTTATCTTTCTATCTATATATCTGTCTGTCTATCTATCTATCTGCCTGTCTATCTATCTATCTATCTATCTGCCTGTCTTTCTGTCTTTCTATCTGTCTATCTACCTATCTGTCTATCTATCTATCTATCTGTCTTTCTATCTATCTATCTGTCTTTCTTTCTGTCTATCTATCTATCTATCTGTCTTTCTATCTACCTATCTTTATATCTGCCTATCTGTCTTTCTGTCTATCTATCTGTCTTTCTATCTATTTGTCTGTCTATCTGTCTATCTATCTATCTGTCTTTCTATCTAACTGTCGTCTATCCGCCTGAACATAGAAATATCTGTTCTTTCCAGTTTAGTTAAAGCTTTTATATGTGCATGGACTTGTCTGTCAGCTTATTATTCTAAAAATTTCAAAGCTATTGAACGATAAATATAAAAGTTATTCAAGAGTAACTTTTTCTGTAGAGCCAAAAAGGGCGCAGCTGTCATATTTTGAAGCATGAGCTCAAATAATTTGTGTAAAAAAAAAAAGCGGATTGTAATTTAACGATGCGGTTGCCATGTCGCCCGTTTATTGTCCTGTGCTCGTCTAACCCAGTTTTGTTTTGGCCAAAAGTGCACACGGGGCGAAAAATAAATAAATAGCCAAAAAAAAAAAAAATGATATGGGCCTGCCACGCCCCGCCCCCCCAAAGCAATTGGCCCACAATTGCTGCCAAGCGCAGACCGAGAAGCTAACGAACTTGGGGACATAGCCTGAATGCTGAACACGAATTGGTGAATACTGAATACTGAATACTGAATACTGAATACTGAATACTGAATAGTGAATACTGAATAGTTGAATAGCGAATAGTTGAATACCGGCGGGTGCCAGTTACAGCAAAATCCCAAATACAAATCCAACCAGGCACGCAAATGGAGCCAGACGAACAACAACTTTGATGTTGATGCGTTCCACTCACATAAAAGAAGTTGCGGCGGGGGCAGGGATGCGGGCGGAAGTGGCACGTTGCACCTGCCACGTCTGCCACACAAATGTTGGCAACACACGGCAACTGTTCAACTGCAACTGCAATTTCCAGCAACAACAACAACAACAACAACAAATGCAACAATTTCACTCGAAATGCAATGCATTCAGTTATTGGAACGGCATAAGGGTAACACATTTGTTCTATGTGCCAGGCAGGGTTGTGCGGCGCCGTGCTGGGTTGCCCTTACAGTGGCCGCGTTTCTATGCCAAATGCTTGAGCCGTGCTTTTCTAAAGACCTGTAACCATTAGAGAGCCCAAAAGGGTTGTCTGCAAGTGCTCTCAAATGCTTACAACTGGCAGCTGTTGGCAACTCTGAACCCCGAATCTATGAACCTCAGCTCTACTCTACTCTACTCGGCAACTATAAGAGCTAGAGGCCTTATATTGGATATGGGGCTGCTTTTAAAGCACACTTGGACTCAGTTGATATCATTTGCTTGATAACTTTCGCAGTTGCTACAGAAATCGATAAAAATCGATTGCCAAGCAAACTTATTTCAAGATATGATCAACAAATTTGGTATGTGGTTTTACTACTATTGCATATACATATGCAGGTTTTTCTTCTCTTATTATTTCACTGTTTGCCCCAAAATCGATAAACATCGATTCAATATTTAAGAGATTTTTAGACTAGGAACTTTGAAATCGTTCGAGTATTACATATATATGTATATATATACATATATATAATAACTTTATTGATAATTTCGCTGTTTGCCCGAAAATCGATAAATATCGATTTTATTTCTTAGAGGTTATCAGAACTATAGCCCTCATATTTGAAATACAGGCACCCGTATACGAAGCGCAACTGTTATGCATTTCATTTTAACGATAACTTGAGCTTTCTTGTATATGTAGAAAACTTACATATTTTTGGGTTTATCGATAAGTACACCCTGTGTACAGGGTGTCTCGTAGTCACGCTCTTGCCTCAGCAACATTCGGTCCATTTTTTTGTTGTTTTGGGTCCACATTCAATGTTTTGTTCAACTTTTATTCATTATTTATGCTCCACAAAGCTGCCTGAATGCCCTTTCTCGCCCACTCTCGTCTAGCTATTTTTGTTGTTGTTGTTGTTGCCACTTTTCAACTTGGCTTCGGTTCGGTTCGAGTCTGGCCCTTGCCCTTCGCTTGGCTTCTGCTGAGACGGGGGGAAAAAGCTTATCAGAATAGCATTAGACGGGGTTTCGGGCCATGTGTTTGTTTTTTATGCCCTACGCCGGGCTAAGGGATAATCACTTGTTGAGAACAGCCTGTGCTGAGCTCTACATTGGACTACTTTTGATTCCTTTTAGGGGAGTTTACTTTCGTCCCAGTCAATATGCTGGTTTTATGAGGTGGAAAAAGCAGGGAAGTGGAATTGAAAGCACAAGAGCAAATAGTTGAAATGTGTGGATAGGAATAGGAACTTGCTGCTTATTTAATATTGTCTTATTGTGTTTAAAGAATTTTATGCCTAAAGTGCAACTGTTTTTGGCTCAAATTAAGTGAGGATTAAGGATTCCTACACCACGAACTCCTTGACAGCATTTGACCAACTATTTCTTTCACTCGCAGATAGATATACATGCTGTGTAGCTATTATCAGCCGACTTTGCTATCGATTCTGGCCTTGCAAACGTCTATTAACCCTTAGGCAGCTTTAACTAGTTGGGAATTATAAACGTCTAGCTACGAAAGCGAGACAACCAGTTTATGTTTAAAGTGTCAACTATGACTCGCTCGCTCTTTTTAATATTAATATCATTTCTAATAGACTTTTTAAAATATGATTTGTAAGGGTATTTAATATTCGTTGCATGGCTTATCCTTTCGTTTCTTGCCTTTTTGCTGGCTTTATTTTTTGTTGCCTTCGCTTTTTCTGTTGCCAGCTGCGATGTTGGAGAATTTATGCAAATTGACTGTTTGTCTGTTGCCCGAAGGATTTCTCTCGCTCTCTCTCTCTCTCTCTCTCTCTCTCTCGCTCTTGCTCTCTCTCTGTCTCTCTTTTCCCGCAGCCTGGCCAGCAAATGAGCATTTAATGGGAGACACGCTTTAAGCATTTGCACATAATTTTCTGGTGAACTAAATTGCGCTGAGCTGACAATTCGCCAACAAATGATATTACATTTTCTGCTTCTTTATTTTTTTTGTGGCCAATAACCGCCGGAATTGTGAGCAATAAATTTGCCAGGCTACGCTGCGCTGTGGCATGCCTCGCGTGCCGCCAATAAATAAAAATAAAAGTGCCCTTAATATTTACAACATATTTAGTTTAACGAAATGGTTTGTGTCCCTTCCTTTAGCCGAAATGGACGAGCTCATCGAGCAGCTGAAAACGACAAGCGTCAGCCTGGACAATACGACGACGACGCTGCTCTGCGAGATTTCGGCCACAAAGGATCCCAAATTGTTTGACAAGCACGAGCTGGCCGATTGCTTTCTGCGTCTGACACAGTGCGAGGACACGACCGTGCGCAGGGAGGCGGCCAAATGCATTGCCGAGATAACCAAATCGGAGGTGCAACGAAAAAAGTTCACCAAACGCGACATCATCGCTGCCTTCCTCGAGTGCCTGCGCCATGTGCCCGCCGCGGATGGCAGCATGGAGCTGCCCATACAGATATGCCGGGCGCTGGGCAACATTTGTTATCTGAACGATGAGGCGCGTGATCTCATTTTGGAGCTGCAGGGCGATGCGGTGCTATTGCGCCTGCTCGACATAGCCGAGATCGAGGATGTGGCCAATGCGCCGCAGTTCATCAAAGTGCGCGGCGGCTTGCTCTCCAATTATCTGTTGGGCGGCGAAGGTCTGGCCAAGCGTGCCATGGAGCTGGGCATAATGCAACAGCTGCAACGCATTGTGGACACGGGCGCCGACAATGTCGAAAAGCACGAGGATCTGTTGCTCAACACGTTGCCGCTGCTCAGCATACTCACCGAGAATGTGGCCGATTTGAACTTTGAATCGCAGCTGAATATCAAATTATCACGCATTTTGGCCGCCTCCACAAATCCCGATCTGGCCGAAATGTGTCTCGAGCTGTTGCACTATCAGGCGGAAAGCGACGAGGTCAAGCTGCTGCTGGCCAAGGATGGCCTCTGCGAGACCATCTACAATCTGCTGGAGAAATACAAGACGCTGGCCAGCACCAGCGAGGCGCGTGCGCTCATGAAACTGGCCTGTGAACTGATTGTGCTCATCCTGACGGGCGGTAAGTGCCTGTGACTACTTCTAGTTCTACTCTCGCTCTCTCTCTCTCTCTAATACTTACTCTCCTCTGGCAGATGAATCCATGCACTATTTGTACACCACGCCGCTGCTGAAGAACATGGTCGATTGGCTGGACTCAACAGATATTGATCTATTGACCACGGGCGTCTTGGCCCTGGGCAATTTTGCGCGCACCGACAGTCATTGCATTTACTTTGTGGAGCAACAGACCATGAAGAAGCTGCTACAGGTGTTGGCCAAAAATAATGGCGTCAAGGACGATGTGCGTCTGCAGCACGCACTGCTCAGTGCACTACGCAACCTGGTCATACCCAAGCCGAACAAGAATGCGGTCATTCAGGCGGGCCTCGTGCAGACCATATTGCCCATGCTGGAAATCCATCAGCCGCCGGTTGTGTTCAAGCTGCTCGGCACGCTGCGCATGACCGTAGATGGTCAGGGTGAGTCCAACATGTGCCACATAATTGCAAACAGCTTCGCTTGACACTTGACTACACGCATTTACAGAGAAACTGGCACTGGAGCTGCTGAAGAACAAGACGCTGATCGAGCAGCTGGTGCACTGGAGCAAATCGTCCGACTATGCGGGCGTCACTGGCGAATCGCTGCGTCTGATGGCCTGGCTGATTAAGCACGCGTATCTCAATAAGATTGCCTATGCGCTGCCCCGCAAAGGTGATGCCCCGGCCGAACAGATTGCGGACAAGATACCCTTGGCCCATGACTACGATCGCAGCAGTCTCAGTGAATTTCTGGCCAATGAGGGCACCGTCGAGGCCATGGTCAGCATGCTGACAGCACAGCATCTGGTCATGCAGAACGAGGCACTGATTGCCCTATGCATACTCTCTGTGGTGTATCTATCGAAGCCCACCGAGGCGGAGCAGGCGCAACGTTTGCAGGATGAGCTCATCAAATGCAATGTGGGTGCCAAGCTGGCGGAGCTCATTACCAAATCATCGGACAGCATGACCAAGGAGATTGTCGAGAATCTGGAGAATTGCATTAATCTGCTAAAGACAGCCGATAAACTGGTCGCACATCTCGATCAGCACAACATAAACGAGCTGCTCAAATCCATACCCATTCTAACCGAATACTGCACCTTGTAAGGATTATAGGCAGCGGGAACAGGCACATTTGCATTTATACGAGAGAAATCTACCCTCGCTGTCCAAGCACCGCCAGTTGCCTATTTCAGCCCACACTCAGAGACAGACACACCCAGACAGACAGAGACACACTCCCAATTGTAGTTTCCACCTTAGAGCAACGATTCAGATCTTAGACTTGATTATATATAGTTTCATTAACCTGAAACCGAACAGACGTGAACAGAACAGATGATACGGGAATGTATTTTTTAGACGCAAGCGTATTTTTACTACATTTACCACATAAAACATATAATTAATTAAATATACATGCATACTATATATATACACATAATATATATATATATATACACGTATGTATTAATTAAGGCATATAAAAACATTTCTGTTACATGATTTTTAAGAGCACAATAACAACAAAACGAGGTGATATCGCTAAATATATTAAATAAATGTATTTTACGTATTGTACTTATAATTTGTATTTGAACAATTTACAAAAAAAAAAAAAAAAAAAAAAACATTTGTTGGCACACATCAAAAAACAATTTCAAGCACAATTTTGCATGCAATTTGTATTAAACATTTTAATTGTTGCACTTTTCAAAATTTATAATTAATATTAGTACCGTAAAACTCACCGAAATTCTCTCACACACACACATACACACAGTTGGAATTAACATTTTTTAAACAATTTATAGCAGAACACAAAAGAAAAATTGTAACCTTATAACAATCAGCGAAAATAGCTTAAACTCGAATGAAATATGCAAATTTTACAAAGTATATATATATATATTTAACATTTTAACAATAATTATTGTACTCGATTTGTGGTCACCAAACAACAACAACAACAACAAGAAAATTTCTTAAACCTAACACGTAAGGCAAGTTTAAGCACAATTTAAGAAAATATTTATATAACGCGTTGAAACACACAAATATTTATAAATTTGAAACACAATAATGTACATTTAAATAGTTCAAATACAATTTGAAATGCATGAGAAAATAAAATGAGAGAGAAAACCAAAGAAAATTTCCAGTAACGGTTTCGGACTGCTTTTCGACAATTTTCTAAAAACCGTTTCAAAACCGTTTTGAGCGGGCTTGATTCGGTTTACTATGCGAGTACTTTCCTTGAAAAACTTGGCAAGCTGTGGCGTATAAATACTTGAAGTTATGAATATTTTTGTTTTTTTTTTTTTTAATATTAATTTTAAATACTTACCGATATTTTTCGATTTGGTAGCGCCGTACTGCCGAGAAAAACGTAAGCAGAACGCCACAACCTTCCCCGTTTAACGTCGAATTCAATTAATTTGTTTTGGTTATTTTCGCGCTTGCGTAAAACGGTCACACTGATCTCTAATAAAAGTCAGACGCTAACGCTACGGAAAGTTTTTGTCATTTTATTTTGTTTTAACATGCTGAGAAAGTGTTTTTATTCAAGTGCTTTGCGAGCTCCATTTAAACGCCAATAATAACGCATATTTTGTGCTGCATTAACACTAAAACAAACAATTGTGATGCGAAAGACCCGCTCGCAAACTCAGGCGGAAAATGCCGCTTCAACCACACCGCAGCAATCAGCACCAGCAGCAGTAAACACATTTGATGCGGCTAAATTCAAGGTAACTTTATCTTTCAATGTTTCATTTAATGCACTTAAGCATTCAAAAAACAGTGTATTTTAGTAAGAAAAAAAAAACAATTGATAAGTAAAAACAATGTGACCGCAGGCAAGCCTCATTTTCAGCGCCCCCTGGTGCAACATACGCAAACGCTTGCTGCTAGACAAACGATTACTTTACAACACTATCATCCGCCATATTTCCTCCGACAAAACAAATTTGTGCGATTAAAAAGATAAATGCGGGGGGACTTAAAATAATAAATGTGTTGAATATCAGTAAATGTTTACATTAGTTACAAACCAATACATTAGTAATATAAAAGCGGTAATTGTGATGAAAATCATGGCTATGCCTTCGAACGCCATTTTCGCCCGTGTCGTTCAAGGTAATGTACAATTTGGGACATGCGATTTTGTATCCACTGTGCGGTCTGTGTGTAGCTTTTTTTTTTGCAAAGAATAAGCAATACAGAGCCGGCGTTTATCTAGCGCTTAAATGTTGTAATTGACTGGCCAAAAGCATATACTTTTTATGACTATATGCATATGCACATGGAACAAATGTCTTATGTACATTTCGGTAGAGCCACACACATTCACGCACACATGCAATACATACCCAAATGCCATTAGCTGTGTGCGTGTGTGTGTGTGTGCAGCGTCGTCGTGCCTTTTAGTCTGTTACTGTTATTTTACTAGCCTTCTCCTCCACCCACACCTTCTGCTTGCAGGAATGTGAGCAAATGGTGCAGATGCTACGCGTCGTAGAGCTGCAAAAAATCTTATCGTTTCTGAACATTTCCTTCGCTGGACGAAAAACCGATCTGCAAAGTCGCATCCTATCGTTCCTGCGTACTAACCTGGAGCTGCTCGCACCCAAGGTACAAGAAGTTTACGCTCAATCCGTGCAAGAACAAAGCGCCACGCTGCAGTACATAGACCCAACCAGGATGTACTCGCACATGCAGCTGCCCACTGTGCAGCCAAATAATGCGAGTCTTGTGGGCGGTGCACCGACCCAGGTGCCACAAGTGGGCGCCGGCAATCCCGCCCAGATACCTGTCGGTGCTGGCGGTGCGCCCGGCAATATGATACCCTACCTGCACTCGCACACCATGAACAGCCAAATGCCCATACATCCCGATGTGCGTCTGAAAAAGCTTGCATTCTACGATGTCCTTGGCACACTCATCAAACCATCGACTCTGGTGCCGCGCAACACACAGCGAGTGCAAGAGGTGCCTTTCTATTTTACGCTGACGCCACAGCAGGCTACAGAGATCGCCACAAATCGCGATATACGCAACAGTTCAAAGGTGGAGCACGCCATACAGGTGCAGCTGCGCTTCTGTCTCGTGGAGACATCGTGCGACCAGGAGGATTGCTTTCCACCCAGTGTCAATGTCAAAGTGAACAACAAATTGTGTCAGCTGCCTGTGAGTACTAACTACAATTTATTTATCCATATATTTAAATGTTAATTACCCACGCGCACAATCCAAATCGTGAGATTTAGGAAGCTGAAAATGCGGGTTTTAGGAAACGTAAGAAATTGTTTTCGATTGTAGAAGTGATTCACACTTTTCGGAAAACGTGGAAAGTTGGCGTCCAAGTTTGTTTGAAGAACGGCTCAAATTTCGTTCGATCAGCATAAAAAGTTTATATATTCATTTCAGCAGCACGTGTTCCTGTTTGATTTAATGAAAATTGCCTTTTGTACCTTTAACTAATTCTCCTTTGCTGCTCTACAGAATGTCATTCCTACAAATCGCCCAAACGTGGAACCGAAACGTCCACCACGGCCGGTGAATGTGACCTCAAATGTCAAACTGTCGCCGACTGTGACCAACACAATAACGGTTCAATGGTGTCCGGACTACACGCGCAGCTACTGCCTCGCCGTCTATTTGGTAAAGAAACTAACATCCGCACAGCTGTTGCACCGCATGAAGACTAAGGGTGTCAAACCCGCGGATTACACGCGTGCTTTGAGTAGGTTACAAGTAGAGAATTTCAAATCGATCAGAACATTGACGATATGTTTGAATTTCAGTTAAGGAGAAGCTTACCGAGGACGCTGACTGCGAGATAGCCACGACCATGCTGAAGGTGTCGCTTAATTGCCCGTTGGGCAAAATGAAAATGTCGCTGCCGTGCCGAGCATCAACATGCTCCCACTTGCAGTGCTTTGATGCCAGTCTCTACCTGCAAATGAACGAGCGCAAGCCCACCTGGAATTGTCCAGTCTGCGACAGGCCGGCCATCTATGATCATTTAGTAATCGATGGGTACGGTTTATTCAGTCTACATTTTGGCAATACAATATATTTATGTATCTATTCCTGCAGCTATTTTCAAGAGGTATTAGGCTCGTCGCTGCTGAAAAGCGACGACACTGAGATTCAGCTGCATCAGGATGGCTCCTGGAGCACTCCGGGCTTGCGCAGTGAGACACAAATACTGGACACGCCGTCAAAGCCTGTTTCTAAAGTGGAGGTCATATCGGATGATGTCGGTGCGTAGTAAATGATGATAATTGTCTGCCCCATTCGGTGGATTTGTGGATTATAATCGTGGAGTACTAATTTGTATATTGTTCAATTTGCGCAGAACTGATTGATGACACAAAACCGATGAAGTCTGATCTGTCTCCAGCGCCCGAGGAGCAGCCAACGTCCACGTCCAACAGTGAAACCGTAAGTGCAACCAACTTTCCTAACTTTCCTAATCATATTACTTATGTTTGTATCTTGTGCCGTAGGTGGATCTAACCTTAAGTGATTCGGATGATGATATGCCGCTGGCCAAGCGGCGACCGCCAGCCAAACAGGCGGCTGCCACGTCCACATCGAACGGTACGGGCGCCGCTCAACGTGCCTATGCCTCGTCACAGCAACAGCAGCAACCGGCAAAAACTGGTACGTTGGATCCATTTTTGTAATAAGATGAAGCAAAGCAACAGGCAACAATCGATTTGTTGAACACACTTTGTATAGCAAAAACAGATTTCAAACAAATATTTATAAAACGTTAGGGTAACATATACACATAAGGCAATATTCATACACACACACACCACATACACACACCATCATCATACACACACACGCACACCACATACCAGCCCCTCAAAAGCTTGTCAACTCAAGTTGCCTTCTTAACTTGCTATGAAAATTTCCCCCTTCCCTTCTGTCTGTTTTGTGCACTTTTCACAAGCTTTTCGAAAATTATAACTATTAAGAGTTATTTAAGCAAATCGGAATTAGATTGAAATTCGAATCTAATCTATTGGGAATTGTGTGGAGTTTGAGAATTGAATTGAAATGGTCTCGGCCATTGATCTGTCTCCATCCTGTAAATCTATGGATATACCAAGCGCCAGTTGACTGAATCTGTCAGACTATGGTCCGTTTTAGACAAGGCTACGCCATCCGGCCGGATGCCGATGCTCAATAATAGGCGTCAGTTTCTGTAGTCAGGACTTTATATATTTGCTGTAATCACAATTTGTACATAAATGCAATTTTCTTATAGATATATTAAAAAAAACTAAGCGTGCGCCAATTTATGAGCACGTTGGTATTCGCTTATGTCTACGGTCACGGTAGGTTATATCGTAGTCCCGTTATTCAACATAGAATTCGTTTTATCTATGTGCATATCTTACAGTAATGCAGTTAACAAGGCGCAACCGTGACGTCACACACTCAATACAAACTCACCCGATTGAACACTTCGAACACATTTATATATATATATATACATGAATTCAATGTTAACTCCAAATGTTTTCGATTATTTGTTTTCTTTTTAATTGTGCAAGAGTTTACTGTGCGTCCCCTTGTTTACCTGTATTTACATTGATTTGTTTAAATTTTATGCATCTCCGATTTAATTATATTTATTTATTGTCAGCAAACATACAATTGTACTCTGTTTGAAATATAATTAAGTTTTTTTTATTGTTCTCACTTTTTTGCCCAAATCGAAAACTGTGGCCACACAGAAAATAACTGTTTTATATATACATATATACACATATGTATATACAATTTAAAGTTTTGTAGTAACTTGTGCAACTCTCTCTCTGTCTCTCTCTCTCTGATTCTATTTTCTCTCTCCTCTCTCACACTCTCTTTATATATATATTTGTAAATATATGTATATTCTATTCTCTTCTCTTCTCTGCATTTTTTTCGACCATCGACTCTACGAAAGATTCCCCCGAGCAGCAAACACAGCAAGCGATGCCGTCGCCTGAAACGCTACAACAACAACTTTTGGTTGGGGATCAGCCAACGGCTGCAATGCATGCCAGTCTATTGGAGTCCCTCGCCGCTGCAGTAGCGGATCAAAAGCATTTTCAACTCTTGGATCTGGCTGCAGTGGCGGCCGCTGCTGCTGCCACGGCGTCTGCCTCAGCGCAGAATCCAAATACAGCTCCATAGACAGACACACACACACACACGTTCACACATATATGTAACAATTGTAAACAGTTTCACACACACACATGCGCACACAAGATTGTGCTTTTTACATGTTATGCTTTCGTTTTGTTTTCGTTGGCTTTGCTTTCGTTTTGTTGTTGCCCACTTTCGCTCGTTTCCTTTGCTGGCATTTAATCCCACACACACACACACACACACACACCCATCTGTATACATGTATATGCCGAGTATCAGAGGCTATTTAACTGATATTTTCATGTTCACATTCATTTTAAAAGCATTTTTACCGTTTGCTCTTTCTCCCTTGTGCTGGAGACCCTTACAATCTCTCTTGTGGCGGCATTTCTCAACTATTTTTCTCTTATGCCTATTTTATTTGCTTGATTATCATGACTATTAATCACATACAATCATTATCAGAATGTTTTATACAAATACTTGCAACTCGAAATACGGTTTGATAAAGTTTCAAAAGCGAATCGCTCAAAATGCCCTTTAAAATAGTTGCTGCCTGTTTGTTGCTGTTCCTAATTTTCTATAATTCTATTATTTATATTCTTTTGATTACCCTTCGTATTCAATTTATTTCAGGCCTCTACACTTAATATTATATTTGTTATCGCTTGAGTTTATATATGTTATTCTCCTCTTCTTAATTTATCTGTGTGTTGTGCTTGCCTCGATTAATACACACAAACATACCCCCACCCACCCACACACACACACACATAGTAAACACAACAAACTACGTTTTGCAACACATAATTAATTTATTTATTGGGTTGTTTATTTTTTGGCGTCAACCAACACTTCGTAATATGTATTTTTAGTTAAAAAACAAAAAAACAAGAAGAAAATACACAGAAACAAATAGAACTAAACATTAAACAATAGCGTAATAATAAACATAAATCAAATGTTAATGTTTAAGTCTCTTTACAATTATTCCTAATTCATATAGAAAAGCAAACGGAGTGGAACAAGAATCGCATCGATTTTAAGTTATATTTCGTGCATATTTTAGCAATTAAGTTAAAGTTTTTCCTATTTTTCTTGGCATATTCGGCTCGAGTTTGCTTAATAAAAAAAGAAAAACAAAGGGATACATTCAACAAAACCCAATTTCAGTTTATTTTATAACTTTACGTATATTATATGTATGTATTTATATCAACTCTTTTTGATTTTTGGAAAAGAATGCAAAAAAGTGATGCAAAAACTGGAAAACAAATAAGATATAAACTTCACTCAATAATAAATAAAGCTAAATCTATCGTATATTAAATCGCATCATCTTTGTAATTATTTATTTAGGCACTCTGGATTACTATTTTAAGCCGGTTCAAAGCTGATTTTATAGGATCATATATGTTATATCCATTCAAAATCGCACAATTTGAACGAACACACACACGCACACACACACAGAGACACATGTACAAAACGATATTTATGTCTCTGCGAATGACCAAAAGAAATTTGATCGAAACTTTTACCTTTATAGCCCATATATGAAAACTGAAAAGACACGCGCGCTAAAACGAATTTTTGTTTGAAACAATAAATCGCATTTTGAACCATTTATTGCATGCGGGGAATATAAATACACCATGTATAAGTCAAATATAATCTGCAAATTAAAGCTAAACAATATTTTCAAACAAGCCAAGTGTGTTTTATTTATTGTCAACAACCGTTTATTATTCCATAGTCTTTTACTTTCTCTTTTTAATATTAACATTTGAGATATTTTGCACATTTTGAGAGTTATTATTTCGATTTTGAATTGTTTTATATACGAATATTGTTTTCTATTTTGCAGATGAAGATGAAGCTGACATGGAAAAGAAAGAATCTTCTGTCATTGAACTTTCAGACTCGCCGTAAACGCGCACATTCAACTGGCGACAAATCTCCAAAGATTCTTATGCAATCCACTTCATTCTAATTCTAAGTATATTATTTTGGGCCCAACAACTTGACATCCGCAAAGTAATTTATGTACTGTTCGTTGTTTAAAAACTTAAGTTAAGTGAAAAGTAATTTGAAAATAAACAATACATATTTAAATGTATTACAATTGTGAAGTTCAAAATGCAAAAAAACCATTATTTTCCGTTACAAAAAATAACGGCTAAACACAGCTGAGTTGTGTGAGTGCTGCCACTCATTTCGATTTTTATTTGCAAGCAGTTGGCAGTCCGTTTTGCAGTGTGACCAGCTCAAATTAAATAACTTGTTTTTTTTTTGTATTTTTTCAGTGTGCTCAATTCCTCTGCCTTTATCAGTTAACAAAAACTGTGCTTTTCGTAATTCTCTTCATTATGTCTCAAAAGCCTATATTATATTACGCACTCTTCAGCCCTCCAGCAAGGACCTGCATGCTGACAGCCAAATTGATTGGCTTGGATGTGGAGCTTAGGTGAGTGCAAGATCAATCACATTTCCATACCCTTCACATGACATATTTTCTTTCTCACAGGGCCGTTGACTTTTCGAAAAAGGAACACTTGAGCGACGAGTTTATTAAAGTTTGTATATAAGAGTATATAGCATGCGGGATTACATCGTACACGGCATCGGGATATAGCTAATATATCGTCTCAAATAATTGCCTTTGCAGCTTAATCCGGAGCATCAGATACCCGTTTTCGTGGACACCGATGGTGAGGTGTATGTGGACAGGTTTGTGTACCTTTAAAACCACTTTCCATATCACCTCTTATATATATATATTTATTTTTTTAGTCATGCCATCGTCTGCTTCATGGTTGCCAAATATGGCAAGACCGATCAGCTTTACGCGAAGGATCTGAAGCGTCGCGCTCACATTGAGCATCGCCTGTACTACGAGAATGGCGTGCTCTTTCCGGTGATCAAGGACATTGTGGCGCGCAATCTATACGGTGGCGAATTGGAGTACAATGCATGCTCTGTGAAATTGTGCCAGAATGCTTACGCTACGCTGGAGCACTTCCTGGAGCAGGGCAGCTTTGTTGTGGGCAATGAGCTGAGCGTGGCGGATATTTCCATAAACACCACACTGATCACATTGGATCTGATGATGCCCGTGGATCGGGAGCGTTATCCCAAAATTGCCAACTGGCTGCAACGCATGCAGCAGCTGCTGCCCGACTATGAGGAGATCAACCTGAAGGGGGCTCAGGCTCTACAGCAGCGCATAGAAAATTGCATGGCCGAGAACAGATCTGCAAAATAAAAATTCTAAAATTCCAAAATCTCAGCCAATTGTATGCACCTCGACGCGCTCAACCTGCCCGGGATCGCTGTTTTTGTGTTTTTAGCCATATCTGCCACGCCCCTGCGAAAAGATAATCAAAACCGATGGTTCCTAGTTGACCCACATATCCTTGGTTATACCATACCATTGATATAGTCCTGGTGAACCTACAGTTCCAAATCCCAGCTAAATTCGCTTGAAAGCTTTATCCACAATTAAATTTCGGTTTGAAAATTAACGGACGCAAAATGCCTTGGCACTGTGCCCCCGGCCGTTGGGTTCACATTTTTCATATCAAAATTCAGCTGAAGTACCAGGCGAACAGCAATGCCCAGCAGGTAGATGCAGAGAAATTTTTATTTAACAAAAATTTCGTTGCATACCCACAAGGTGCAAAAATAATGACTTGCAAGTTCCTTAACAGTCCTCTGTTAATTAGCAGCTACGCAGCTGTAAGTTAACACGTCGCTGTTAAGCAAATGTTAGTTAACAGCTGCTGCTAAGCTGGGCGGCGTCAGGCTTGGACGCAAATTTGGCAAAAGTACCAGGCGAGCAGAAATGCCCAGCAGGTAGATGAATTAAATTTTTTTTTTTTAATTTGTAAATGCCCATATCTCGGTCAAATAAAGCCCGATCCCGGAAATTTCAAGGGCGTTGAACTCGTGGAGGTCCATAGAATAGATCGGCATCAAAGTTGTTTCTGTTTAGATATATTTGTATATTTTTTAAATAGAATTTATAATTGATTTGTTAAGCTAATTGGATTTAATTCTCACTATGATAATGCTTTGTGTCTTTTTTATTTGGAAGTCAAATGTATTTGTATTTGTTTTTATCCTTTTGAAATAGTTGCTCGTAAATTTGTTGCTTATACATTTGTTTTTTTTTTTTGTTTTTTGTTTTCTTGACAAGCCAAGCCGCTAATAGTTAACACAAGCTGTTTTGTTGTTGTTCTCGCACTATAACTAGCATAATAATAATATTTAAGGTTTTGTCTGGTAACATATCGTGCGTACGTCTAGCTATATACAATACGAATCCTAAACCTAATCACACTTATTTTGGTATATTTTCCAGCTAACTGTTGGCGCTTCACTCTAGTCAAAGGTCGTCCAGTTGTTCATGCCCTTGCCAGCGCCTGCGCCCGCGGTCAGTGCTGGCTTTGCATTGGCGCCACCAGCTGTCGCCGTGGCCCCATTCAGCGAGAACTGATCCAATCCGTATTTGCGCAACAGCTCAAAGTCATCATCCGGCGGCTTGGCTGCGAGTGCCCCGCCGCCGCTGCTTCGTTGGATTTGCGGCGGCGCCACGCGACTCGTAACGGCCGCGACGGTGGCCATGTGCTTGGGCGCAAAGTAGGGATAGAGCGGATTGTTGACGCTATTGTTGGCCTGGCTGAGCACGCTGCTGCTGTTGACGCCGACTGGCAGAGTGCTCGACTTGGACTTGTGGTTGCTGTTGAAGTTTCTGCCCAGCGGTGGCAGCGGGCGTGCATTCTGATTTAACGGATCGAAATCCTCCAGATCAAAGCTGGTATTGTTGCTATCGTCCAGCGATATCAGATCGTTCATGCTGTCCTCCGGGCGCGGTTGAGCGTTGCTGCTGCTATTGCTGCTGCGCGGTGACTGTGCGGGGAGTAGACATAAATAGGATAGATTAGTTAAGCGAATAACTCTCTATAGGCTAGACAATCTACACTTGGATTAGTCAACTACAATGGCAGGCAAATGCAAGCGGATTAGTCGCAAGGCTACTGGGTCCATGGTTAGTTGAGAGAAAGGGCTGTTTGGGAGGAGGTATGTGTGTGTGTGTGTGGCAGCTGGATGTATTAGTATGTGAGATGTGGAACCGCAACCAGGATATTTCTTAGTTAACTAGACAGCGCAGCTTGTTGTTGTACCTCTCTCTTGGCCCGCGGCGTTGGTATTGGCGCCGAGTCGGAGCTGAGCGGCGATGATATATTAAGCTGCGAGAATCTGGATGCGGCCGTAACAAATGAAGCGGCTGACGAACAGGACGAGCTGGACGATGACGACGCCGATCCTGATCCTGATGACGAGATATTCGAATCGTTTGACTCATCCTGCCAGCAATTGCGCTCCAGACGATTGATGCCAGCGCTGACAGCAGCCGCAGTGGCGGCCACCACAGCATTGGCGCTGCACTGACGTCTAGGCGGTATGGGCGGCGATTGCACGTCCGGTGGACTATCAAAGCTCGAGTCTGTGCTGGCAAGCGGACGTGGCGGCTTGGTGGGCGTTGACGTGTGCCGCGGCGGCTTCGAGTCAACCAGCGGATGCATGGAGCTGCTGACGATGGCGCTGCTGCTGTTCGGCGCATACGGATGATTGTAGTAGGAGGCGGGTTGTTGCGGCAGCGTGACGGGCGGCGGTGGGCGTGCCGGCGGTGCACCGTTGCGTGAGCGCGTGCTGTGATGCTCAGCGTTTGGCTTCAGCTGCGTGTCAAATGGCAATGGCGGTGGCAGTTGCATGTTTGTGATATGTTGGTGTTGGTGCAAGTTGCGAGAAGATGAAACAAACACAAGGCGACAACAAACAGACAGACAGACGGGACGAGGCGAGACGAGACGAGAGACAACACAAGAAACACATGAAAAAGGCAATGAAAAGAATGAACGTAACATAAATATCTGCTTGCAGACGTAACAACAAAAACAACGACAACATCGGCGACAACAATGAGAGTTTGCAACATTAAGCGGCAAGCGAAACGACGCTAGAGCAGCTGCAGCCGCCTCTCATATTCACGCACTAGACTACTTACGCTGCGATCGACGGCGGGCATTTTAAAGAGCGGATGATTCTGCAGCTCCTGCGACAGATTCATCTCCGATGAACAGATCGAGCTTGCCGAGCTAACAGCAGGAGACGCACCCACAATATGATCAAAATTAGCATTAAGCGGCGCACCCAACGCATAACCATTTGCCGGTATCTGGCTGCTCGAGCTGGACATGGCCAGCGGCACAGGCGCTCGTCGATGCTGCTGCTGTTGCCCAGGCAGCTGCAGCATGTGCTGCTCCATCGGCTGCTGCTGGCCATTTAAGTTCAACTCGCGCTTGCTGCAAACCGGCGAACTGGGCGCCGAACGATGTGTCACCTTACGGCCGTATAGCGTGCTGCTGCCGTCCGGACGATCCGAGTGTTGCGGCGAGCTCAGCCCGAAATGGAAGTGATTGTTGGGATTGTGGTTATGGCTGCCGTTGTCGCGCCACTTCTTGTAGGCGGTCTTAACGCCACGCGAGCTCTCCTTGACCTGCGGAAGGCGGAATTCGCAATTAATATCAATCCTCAATCCTCAGCTCCAGTCTTCAATCTGATTAAGAGAGTCAGTTAAAGCTACCACTCACCGATTTAACAGCAGACTTAACAGCTGGATTAGTCTGCAAGAGTGAGGCGCATTTGGTGATAATACGGTATATAAATGTATATAGGATCGGATCAAGTACCCAGAGAACGAGCATTAAGCACAGAAGCACAAACGTGAGTTCCAAGCAGGATACATGAAAGAGAGACACGATCGCGAGACGCAACGCACAAATATTAAATGAGATATATATGAATATATATATTTAATGTGAATATGGATAGCAGCACAAAATTACAATCAAACTACTATTAAATACTAATTGTTAAGATGGCAATGATGATAAATGTGGGCTTTAATGCAATGAGGCTTGAAAATGTTGTTTTTGTTTTTTTTTAATAACGATTTCAATTAATGGTTAAACGTTGTTGTAAAAAAATGTTGAATGGATTAGTAAAGTGTGCATTTAGGGTATTTTTTTTGTTTGATTTGTGAGTTCCCTAAGATATAATTTTTTTTTGGTTTGTTATTTATGTACATAGATGTCTATGGCATTTAACGCTTTAAAGTAAAGCTCCGGCGCGCTGTTACTAACATTTGTTTTCTCTGCTAAGCAGCTGTCAGTGATTGCCCGCTCTGTTGACAACATGTTTTGCCTCTGCTATGCAGCTCTAAGATTACAGCGCGCTGTTATTTAAAATATTAACAGCATAGCTTTAACATTTTAACCATTGGACATATATATATATCGTGTCCGGGATTAAACAAACAAAAAATCTCTATCAAAAACATAAAACTACATCGAAAATAAGAAAAAAAAACTTGTTAAATAACACTATTTCGTTACAAAATCAAAAAATGTTTAGTTTTGCCGTAAAACAAGGATTAAGTGCAATTGTTGGTTAAGATAAAAAGAGAGAGAGTAGAGAGAGGATATTAAATCAAGTAAACTAACATTTGTATTTTGTGAACAAGGTGTTTTGTGTTTTTGTGTGTGTTTGGAAATTCTACTCGTTTTTTTTTTTTTTGGTGATGGGCGGTGGCAATCAGTCTAATAAGTCGTGGCAAACACTCGCGAAACATTGCGCTTTCCCAAATTATACTGCGAAATAGATTAAATTAAATTAAAGAAAATATTGTTGAGCATAACGAAAAAAAAAAATCAAAAAATATCTTAAAAATTACAGCACACAAAATGTAGTCGGAAATCGGTAGAGGGCTCAATCCTTGTATGCACTCCAAGCCAAAGTAAAATAAATAAATACACAATTACACATAGAACCCAAGAAAAGATGGGAATGGTTGGATGTGAAAAATTGCACTATGATTAGGGGATGGTTAAGGCAATTGAGCTAACATCTATGGAGCTAAGGAAAAAGGTGGGAAAAATGTGCATCCTCTGCGCCGCTCACCTTGTCCTTGACATGCTTGAGGAAGACATAGTTGCGTCCGCGCTTCTTCATCTTCTCCGCATAGCGCACAGTTTCCAGTTCGAATTCATCCGAGAAACCCAGACCGCTGTTCAGCATTTTGAGTCTGTCGTCAACGAACTGGGCAAAGATTTGTAGCTCCATCATTTTGGTTAGAAATGGACGCAAGTGTGCGGGCCGAGATTCAATGAATTTGTCGTGATTGAACGTTTTGCAGGTATCGTGAAACTCAACAGCGTCCCGATAGCCGCCAATCAGTTGCACCAATGCGCCCAGAAATATTTTAGAAACACGATCTCCAATGTGATCTTGTGTGTGACTCAGGTATTTCTTCATCTGTGACACAATCTCTGGCGGCAGGGCGCGCACATCATCAAACGGACTCTCGAACACTTTCGTATCACAGTTTAAGATCACAACTTCGCCGAGCTCATCGGCGGAAACCTGAAACCCAACAGACAGATCATTTATATGGTAAAATATTAAATATGATGTGTTATTTACAGTTTCGAGCACAGGCTTGGGCACACCAATTAGATATGGCATGGGTGCGCCCAGGTAATCCTTAAACGCCCAGGGCAAGATCGGTATAAATATATGCTGCCAGACCATGGGATACAGGAATGCATTGGCTGCCTGTATGCATGAGGATAGACGATCCAGGTGACTCGATGTGAATATAATGCGGCGCTCGGCCAGCATGGCAGCAAATACACAGATCATCTCCTTGGGATCCACAAAGTTATAATACAGATTTAGATTGTGCTGCAAGGTATTGAGATTAATTTTGAATTTAAGTATTTAATTCAATGAAAATCAGTTGGAACTCACATTTTCTGGTATGCTAGGCAGCTGAAATTGCAACGGCCGCTCGAAAGTAAAATGCTGAAGGGAAAATTCATAAATTGATTAATTAAGTAAATCTTAAATTTATTCGCAAATTATTGAGCATTCAATACTCACGCTTTGGCCGCTGTTATAGAATACCGTTAGACTGCCGCCCGAATCGGGCACGCCTCTGTTGTAGGCCTCCGATAGGAAAGTGCGAAACCCATTCCGATCGGTGCGCCTCAACTCCGCCAGCACAATCAACAGCTTGAGGAAGGTATCATGCCACGGCAGATAGGTGATCAGAACCATGGCCGTTTCCGTCTTGGGATCATGTCGACAGAAGCCGAAACGCCACTTGGAATCGCCGGTGGTGTGCACAAATGAATACGATTGCACGGAGCCCCTGTATAGAGTAGAAATATGCATATGTATAGTATAAATATAATAACCTGCCAAAGGAAACCCATAGTAAAACAAACTTATCTTCGGCTTGCCGAAAATTAAATACCCCTTGCAGACAGCAGACGGGCAGAACTTTAGACAACTTAAATATTTGAGTTGGTCCGTTTGCGTTTAGGATTGGGCAGTTGTGTATATTAGATATAATTATAGCATTATTATTATAGCACTTCCGCTCGGCGACGCCATAAACCCAATGACCTTGACAGCAGCAAGCAACAGTTGTGTTTCTCAAGAAACGCTTCGCCGCATGTGTACATACATATTTTTATGTATGTATGTATGTTTCTGTACATTGCAAGAGCGAGACAACAAATTGTGAACGCACTCGCAGCGGGGCTTTATGAATGACTAACGCTTGTCCGTTGGCGCGGAAAGTTGATGATCAAGTTTTGCTTCTTCTTATGCGTTTGCCTCTTAACCCAAATTATAAGCATTTGGCAGACGGACCAAACAATCCAAAAATCACAACAAAAAAAAAAGAAACAAATTAAAAAAATTATATGTGCTGCTGCATTGAGTTTTCAGCATCTAAACATTTAGAATAAATGTATGTATGAGCATTTGATAAGCGGTGTTTCCTTTTGTTGCCATTTTCTTTGTGTCTTTGTGTGACAATTTGTGCGCGTTGATGATTATGTGTGAATAAAAGCAAAATGTACAACAACAACAGTTATTCGCACTGAGCTCCGTTTTCAATGCGACGTCGCTTGGCCTCCGCTTTTTTTTTTCTTTTGCAGCTCTTTCGCATTTCGCGGGCCATTTCGTGTTGTTGCTTTATTGTGGGCGTCGGATTACGTAAAGTCGTTAGATGCGCGCATTATTTAATAAAATATGCTAAACAGGCGCAAGCGACAAAATCGCAGCAGCAAAAATAAGCAAGGAAGTTGATGTGCGCTCTCGCTCTCACAACAGCTGTACATGTCGGTGCATTGACTTTACCGATAACTGTTAATTACAATAATGATAGCCAGCAGAAAAGGGGGAGAGGAGAGCGCGCGTGAAATAATCAAAGCCAATGAATGAAGAGAGCGCGCTGGAGGCTGCCTTTGCTGTTATTTCGCTGTGTGTGTCGTAACGGTGCTTGGCGTATGCATGTGCCGATTTTTTTTCTTTTATTGGGTGATCTTTGCTTTGGGCCAATATTTATAATCATTATTAGTTTCACTTTGAACGAATTTCGACATCAGATTACATTAGCCCAGCATTTGTTCAATTTCCCAAATTGTGTTTATCAGTGTATTTTGCCATACGATAACAATTGCAACTAGGGAACGGGTAGAGGGGTGCGGGTGCACTAAAGACAACTTGTTGCCCAGTCTTGAGGCAGCTGCACAGATAAAACCAGAAATGTTTACGGCGTGACTAACTGAAGACAATTGACGTATGTATGTATGTAACCGATACCGAGTGAGGAAATACTTGCTATAAAAAACAACAAGCGTAAAGTGCGAAAATAAATTGCGTTCAACGTAATCCGAATGAAATAATTCACCATTGCCCCTACAAACTGGCGCGCATATGTAAACAAACACAAAACTATACAACAGGTTATACAATTCATGGACAAACATGAAGTGGACGCTGCCGCTGCTCATGAGTCATCCGGCAGTGTTGCCAAATCGTGGTTTTTTAAAGGGAGATTACGGCTAAAATTCCGTTTGCTGTTAATAACATTTTCCAATTTCACTTTAGGTATATTTTAACTACAACAAGTGAAGATGTCCGCCTAACCAAGCTGGCCGTGATTAGAGCTTTCACTGTATTTTATAAGATTCTTCTAGCTTTTTTTTTTTTTGCTGCTCAGAAATTGACAACACTGGTCATCAGCGCCGTCAGCGACCATTCACCCAGTCAGAAAGCAAATATCAGGCCAAACATCAAACGGTCGTTGGTTCTATATGTTGTTGTTTTTGTTGTTGTGTCTATTGCCTGTTGTTTATATGTACGAATATGACTAATGTCAAATAACCGGAAACATGGCATGCGTAATAAGAATGTGTAACAAATTGCAGTCAGACGCACCTTTCGAGTTCGCAGGGAAACGCAAACGATGGGATGCCAGTGCTGAGCATCTCCTTATCGCGAAAGCCCTCCGGGAAGCTCTCGATAATAATACCATCGGGTTTAGCTGCTGCTCCACCATTGCGGCTAACGGTGCCACGATCGATGCCGCGTGTGGGCTTCACTTCGCACCAAAACTCAAAGAGTTTCTTTACGTCGCTTCTGCCAAAATGACAACATTTAATATATGTATTATTAGTATATATGAAAGAGATGAAGCCGATGAAAAATTTCACTGTAGTTGTTGCGCTCTGATCAGCCAAGCGTTACGCCCACTGCATATTTATTTATTTTTTTCATTTTTTCCCAGATGGAAATCTCCGACAGCGAACAAAATACTCACTTGATACGTGAACCCATCTGGAGAATTTTTTTTATATTCGTTTTTAGTACATGTTTCAATCAATTTAATATGTTGGATTTGTTTAAATGTGATACTATTGGGTTATTTTTATATGTTAACTTTTGATTTGAGATGTTGTGTCAGCAGCAGCAGCCCGCATAAACATATACAGGCGGCTGTTCACTCTGACTTTTCCCTTCTCTTCTTGCTCTTTCGCTTTGTCGATTCACGATTTGGTTTCGCGACGTCATTGAATCATATTCATTGTTGTTCAATGGCTATTGCGTTTGCGATTTAAAGAACACTGCAACTGTGATTCTGGGCGTCTAAATTGGCCCAATCTCTATTGATACGCTTGGCACACTTATTCTTATGCAAAGAAGTCGAATCAAAAAAACACTTTTAACGACAAAAACACCAACAAAATATAACGCAGCGACGCAAACGAACCGACCCCGACAGCAGTTGCACTTGTACTCGATGCCGTTGCTCAATACTCGATACACGTTAAGTCAGCTGTGTTGTTTTTAAAATTGGTTTTTGCCTATCGAAAACGATGGAATTCACATAGCAACGTAAAACAATATAGCATAGTACAATCGTTCGTTAACAGCGATGATCTGTTGTAGTGTTGTTATGCATCTGTTATCCAATTGCATAGTTAGCTGTTAAATTCAAATTGCACACTAACTACCTACCACTACCTTTGACTAACTGCCGGGTTAAACATCCCTTAGCTAAAAACTGATACTTTCATAGATGAGCTTTGAATTGTGCTAAGTATTTTTTGAAAATGCATGCAAAAAATCAACCGATGTTTTTTAGAAGCAAGTTATGTCTGCTGTTAACAACAGCACAGCGATGTTAGCTAAAATGAACGAACCAACTAGTTCATTTGAACAACGTCAGTTACTTTTACATGTGCAGCATTTGTTATTGTTTACATTTGGAGCTTGTTACAATTAAATCCTGCCACAAAGTCTATATGTAAAAAAAAGTTCATAAAATGTCTGTTATCGATTCTGTTATTATGTAATTTTTGTTTTATTCAATGGTTGTCACAGCAGAAACTAAAGTTCATTTCGAATAAACTAGAAAAACAAATCGCTTCCGATAGAAAACGGCAATTAAGGCGTCGGTTGCTTTACAACTTGTCAAGGCAAGTTAAATAATATATGAATTTCAAAAGATGCGTGCGTCATAATTGGCACTATAATTACCACCACCCACCTTCACTGTCACCATAAATAGCACAAAGGTTCACATCCCATACCCTTGGCCGTGGCTATTGATTTTGTTGTTGCACGTGATGCCAAGACAAATACTCAATACATATGTAAGTATTTGTTGCGTGTGTGTGTGTGTGCGTGTGTGTGCAACGGCCATTTTTGATTTCGAATGCGACGCGCCGGCCAAGTTACAACCACAAACCATGGCTCATTGTTGTGTTTTAAGCCATTGGAAAATAATCAAATTTACAAATCATATTTTAATTTAAATTGGGTGTGTCACAGCCCACATAAAATTATCCAAATTATATTTGAAATTTCGTTATTCTTTTTGTATATTTCTTCAAGGTAAGCGCACAAGCCCTCATTTCATTGGAACCTTATATTATGCGCGGCGGCAATAAACGTGTACAATATACTTTATCTAGCTGTAGACGATATATACCAAAGAATTTATAAAGTTGCTAGTTGCTCTGGCTAGTGATAAACATTAGTTAAGTTCTTTTTGCACCGTTGTGAAATTATGCTTGGCGCGTTCGTTCAGCTGCCGCTCAAGGCGGCGGCGATGACGTCACAAAAACAAAAACTGAATAATGAATTGCTAAGCATCGGCCGATTCGCGCTTATGATTAGTCACAATAGCAGAAGCGCGAGCACAGCATTAACCCAACAGCTGTGTCGCAACCAGCAACAACAACAAACACACCAACAACAACAACAACGAAGACATCTACAGGAACTGCTGTGAGTGCGAGAGATAAGCCCTATAAAAAAAAAACCCAAAAAAAAAAAAGTACTATCTGCGTTGTCATCTCCAATCTGGGCTTGATAACATTTAGCACCGCAAGGCTCGCGTTCGAGTGTCCGCCCGTGTGCCAGCATTTATGTCGCGCTTTATCAATTAAAACCCATACAAAAGCACCTTAATACCCATACTCGACTTCGAAGCCGATATTTGAATACCCTTACCCTTAGCCTTGCCCATTGGCCATGACTTTGACATGGTGATACGTTCTTATGATGGAGCTACTATTTGTAGAGATTGCTTAAGCTATTTTTGACTTAATTCGTATGTCAGATATATGATAAACTGCTCCGCAGCTGGGCAAAGTTCGACACGGCTGTTGACACGGATCATGATATGGATGCAAAGATGTATACATCATTATCATGCCCGTTGCGAGGGTATAACAACGATAAGATACGCCTCATAGTCATAGTATAAGCACATACGTATGTATATATATCATAGTCGTATCAGCCCGAGTAGCGGCCAGACAAAGACCGTAGTTCCATTCAACGATTCCGTACATATATGTACATATGTTTTGCGGCCTATTGTCATAAATTGTAATTTTGTACGGGTTATATCCAATTGCAGTCGCCGTCCCGCTTGGGATCAAAGTAGCAAATCGACTTTGCGCGGAATACACACGGATCCAGCGTCAGTCACCATGTTCTACTCCATGTACGCGTATCTGTCGCACTTGCCGCGCCTGCACGCCCTGGGCATGGCCATATTTGCCTATGTCATCTACTACCTCATTCAGGTGGTAAAGGTGAGTGGGCTGCTCTTACGTAATTGCACTAAACAATAACAATTTTGGTTTGGTTTTTTTTGTTTAGCGGCCGATCATCGCCTGCGCGGATGGCCCGTTCAAGCAATATCTGATCAAGACGATGCCCACGCTGGAGAACAAGTATTGGCCAACCTTCTGGTGCGTGGAGAGCCGTGCTCAGACGGTACTTGCGAGCCTGCTGCGCTCCAAGAGTCTGCCCCGCGTCAATTATCGCCGGTAAGTGGCAGCTGCGATTCGTTCTCTCGCTTCAATACAAAAAAAAATTAAATGCAAATATTAAGTTGCATAGCTTTTAGTTAACCCAGAAGTCGAAAGGTCTTGGAGCGGCACAAAACAAATAGTCAACGCTACAAATTACTTCAAATAATTAGCATAATAATAAATGAAGATCATCATCAACTGATTTGCATGCCCTGTACTCATTGCAAATGGGTATTATGTGCGCTGAGGCAGCTTTTGAACTCAATATATATGGATATATATTTTATAAGGACAGCAAATATTTCAGCTCCTGCTGCACTTTAGTTATCTGATAATTTCCTCAGCTTCAGCTAAACCTTCTTCTATATGTCTTATTATTTAAGCGCATATATCTTGTTTATGAAAACTTTCTGAGCTCAAGCTAAGCTGGCGTTAATTAATTTAAATCACAAGTTCACAGACCTGAAGCATAGTACAATCCAATTTCCAGCTCCAATTGATTATACTATATACCTTCAATTAGATTAGCGACAAATTTACATATATGTATATGCATGCATTCATATGATTCAATTGGCGATATTTATTTGTCTACTTGCACCGCATAGCGAAATACTCAGCCTGAAGGATGGCGGCGAGGTGGCACTGGACTGGATGGAGGAGGGCTGCGATGAGCGTGCTCCGTGTGTGCTTATATTGCCTGGTCTGACTGGCGAATCGCAGGCGGAGTACATTAAGTGTCTGGTCTTTGCCGCCCAGCAGGCGGGCATGCGTGTGGTTGTCTTTAATAATCGAGGCCTTGGCGGCATTGAGCTGAAAACGCCTCGGCTCTATTGTGCCGCCAACTGTGAAGATTTGTGCGAGGTGGTGAAACATGTGCGCCGCACGCTGCCCGCCCACTGCAAACTGGGCGCCACGGGCATATCCATGGGTGGCCTGATACTGGGTATGCGTGAAAAAACTTGTAACTATTTGATGTGGTCTAATTAACTTTTTGTGCAGGCAACTATTTGGCAAGGAAGAGCGATGAGGCGCGTGATCACCTGTCGGCGGCCAAGATTATATCTGTGCCTTGGGATGTGCACAAGGGCAGCGCGAGCATCGAGAAGCCTGTCATCAACAATCTGCTAGGACGTCATCTGGCCGGCAGCCTGTGCCGCACGCTGCGCAATCATTTGGAGGTCTACAGGGATATCTATCAGGATTCCGAAATTGACATACAGCGCATACTGCGTGTAAGTAATTGGACTTCCCATGCCATGGGCCTTAGACTAACTCAACTGAACTCAACTTTATCAATTGCCAGTGCAAGACCATCAAGGAGTTCGACGAGCTGTTTACGGCCAAGCAGTTTGGCTATGCCCATGTGAATGATTATTATACGGATGCCACGCTGCACAATAAATTGGATCACATTAGTGTGCCGTTGCTTTGTCTGAGCGCAGCGGATGATCCATTTCAGCCACTGGACGCCATACCCATTAAGGCGGCCAATCAGTGTACACATGTGGCAATTGTAATTACCGCACGTGGCGGCCACATTGGTTTCCTCGAGGGCTGGTGGCCATCGACCAAGGATCAGTATATGTGTCGCATATTTACCGAGTATTTTAGCAAGGCGCTCTACGACGAGGACGGTGAATTTGAGCGTGCCTCGGATAAAATGCATGAACGTTTTCTGGCCAAGCAAACCGTGGAGCTAACCGCCCGTCTCAATGTGCCCCGAGGTGTGCTGCTGCTCGAGAAGCCTGCGGCGGAGCAGCTGGAGTCGCACAAGTTAAAGCTAATGTAGATGAGTTCTAGCTAAAACTGGGCATCAACCTATACCTACTAGACTCCATATGCCCACATATATTTATATACATATAAATAGAAAAAAAATTACAGCGTGTGTAGACCAATTGCCAGTAATGGACGCCGGCTGGAGACTTGTGATATAAAATTGAACAAAATCCAAAGTGTTATTAACTAAACAATTAATTAAAATATTTGATCAAACAATACGACGACAGCTGTTAGAAACTATACAAATTAATTGTAGAACACAATTTAGTCACATATCAAATTGGAACAGTGAAAAGCTTTACAAAATAATTCATATTTTAGTGAGTACAAAATGCAAATTCGCAATTGAAAAACAAAACAAAATACTATATACAAAACTAAGGAACTATTTGACACAGAACAATAATCTTATTCAAACTATATATATATATATATTTTTTAATTCCGTATATATTTAAACTAATAAAAAAAGGAATACAACGCTTAACAAGTATATGCGCATGTACCTGGGCTCTTGACCCACAAATTGTATAAAGCGAGCAATTGAAAACAGTTTAGAGCTACAAAAAAAACGCTTACTTTTAATTTATGATTATTGTTAAGAATTTTGTATTATTTGGATTGGCGAGCCCGCGTGTTGGCCTAAATCGGCTTGTACAGCAACGTTGTCACATATTTCTTGCAGTAGCGATGCGTGGCGCTGAGCACCATGACGCCGTCCTTGATGGAGAGCGCGTACAAATGGTTCAACATGACATGATTCGGCTCTGGCAACAATGTGGGCTCGCACTAGAATACAAAATGGGGATTGTTTAATTATTGTTAAACGTATAAAACATTTATGAAAAACATTACCGATAGCGGTGTATCCTTGTTGAGTATAACCTGCAGCAGATGTGGCGGCAATACGGGCGGTCCGGATACCTTCTCCCAGGGCTTCACCTGCGGCACCTCCTGTGAGTACTCCTTTTCCGCATAATTGGGCACATTCTCGCTATCCTTGGCCAGCGCTTGGAACACCTCAAAATCTGAGGGTCGCACCGACACCAGATTATTCTTATCGCCGTCATCAGTTTCCACGCTTTTCTACAAGTCAGAACGAGACAAACAATTTTGCAATTAGAACGCTGCGCACATGATTAGATTTGTTTTCTTCCATTTATTATTATTATGATTATTCAGGGCAGAGCAGCGGCAGCGGCTGAGCAGCTCTCGGCGCCAAATCCACAGCCGCTGCGCCGCTTTGTTTACAGCCAGTCCGGAGCTGATTACACAACGTATTAGTGAAAAATCGAGTGCGTCGTCAGCAAGTGTAAACATCACGTATCGATTTTACCCCACTGTGCGGGCACACACACACACACACACACAGGGGTTAAGCTTACCAGCTTGGGATCGTGCTTCCATTCGCCATCCACACAGAATTTGTATTGGTGGTCGCCCTCGGGCAGATCGATGATGGTCACAAAATTGCCGTGACTGCGCACCATCGGTATGGGCTTCCATTTGGAGAAGGTGCCCGATATGGTTACATTTTTGCCACCGTAATCCCAGCGCAGGACTGTGGGCAGCGCCGTTTTCATTTGTTCCGTGTCATCGCCGCCCGTTGGCATTGATCCTGTTGCCTGTTCCAGTTCATCATCGTTGTTCTCCTCCATGGTGCTCTCTCTGTCAGCTGCTGCTGCTGCTGCGGCTGATTCGTTATCAACAGCTGTTGTGCGCTTAGCCGCCGCTCTCGTGTAATACTCGTCGTCGTCTTCTTGCGACGAACCTTCGTTTAAGACTGCCGTATGTTTTTTATCGAATGAGAAAGCTTGGCCGTGGCCGCCGCCGCCGCCACCGCCCGCTCCAATGCCGCCCAGAGCTGATGCGCCCGCGCCGCCGCCCCCGCCAGCCGCTCCAGCCCCCAAACTGTCACGAAAGTGTGCGGGAGAACTTGGCGTGGAGAGGTCCGTCGACTTGTGGCGCTCACGATGCATATGCACAGACGAGCTGCCCGCGTTGCCCATATTGCACCTCTCTCTCTCTTGCTATCTAATTTATATTAATTTTTTTTTTTTTGGAGGTTACTTAAAGCATTTAAAATTGTTGGACGATGATTGTTTTGGCACTTTGTTTTCCTTGAGGTTTTTTTTTGGTTTTGTTTTACCCGTAGTTTCGCTTCCGCGTTTATCGTTGTATATTATATTTTTTCAGTACTTGTTCTCGTTTTTGTATATGTTTGGCATTTATTTTTCTTAACTTTTATTATTTAATAGTTTGTTTTTGTCGTAAAATGGCTAATTATAATTACAACTACATGTATGTGTGTGCATCTGTATGCACAATATGTATGTAAGCACGTAGTATATATTCGCAGTTCCAATTGGATTTGATTCATATGGTGAGAACATTAGCAGGGTTGCATGAGCCGTAAATCGACTAGGGCGGCAGAGTCAGTGAGAGCACAATTGCTGATTGAGCTGCAACAATATGTACATATGGCGGTGACAGCGTCGATTCTTGGCACTTCTTATCGGAAAGGGAATCGCCCGCTTTTATATGCATTTATTTTCGTTTTAAAGCACAAAACTACTGACAGTTTTATTATTAGAAGTAGTAATTTTTGTAAAATCAGTAACTGCGTTTGAAAATCGAATTTAACAGCTGCTAAGTGGCTCTAACGATTGTTCTTAGCATAAGCAAAACATCGCGAACTCAGCTGTTTTACAATTATCCGATTCTGATTTGATATTATAATTTCACCGATACCCAAATATTTTTATAAAATTTATATATTTAAATAGCAATAGTAGCAGGTAAAAATTGCTAAAAAAAACTTTTGAGTTACTCAACTTATCGTTACTAAAAAAATAATCGATTTTTTCAGTCGATTTTACACACTGAAATGCGTATTAGCTGGCAAAACTATCGTTTCGCACACATCACAAGCTAACGAGTAGTTTCATTTGTTTATACTCGAAAAGTAGTGGTCGGTCGTCGGTAAAGTGTTGGATGCGTACAGCCCTGCTTCTTGGCCGCTTTAAGAAAGTGAAAGTTAAAAGAACAATTACAAATTATGTAAAATGCACAGTATAACAGTTTGCATGCACAAATAAGTGAGTGTGAAATTACGTGTGTTTCGAGAGTTTCCGTTTTATGGAGGCTGCACCGGCAATGCAGCTGCACCGAAAGAATTATTACCAACAACAAAAGCGCCAAAGCGAATCGGCGGCAACGCTTTAAATTGAAAATTGTCGGCGCCTATTGTTAAGCGCCAATTAGATCGTATGTTGAAACAATCGAGCACAATCAGTTGAAAACAACATCATTCGCCTAACACACCAAAGGAATAGGTTGTCTATTCATTAAACGCTCGCCTTGCGGCTGCTTTGGCTGTGCGCCATAAAACCAGCCCACAAAGGTGAAGGCACACACACATGCATGCCATTTTGCTGTGTGAGTGTATACACTGATGTGCGGAAGCTAGCGAACACAACCGAAAAGTGTACTTACTTTGGCAATATATGAAAATTATCAACATGTTAACTGTTCATCGATTATATAATACATACATAAATGCAACACAAACCATACGAAAATATAACAATAATGCGCTGTGCAGCCGCTGACTGCTTGCAGCGACTGTTCAATAAAACACTGCATTTGGTTATCCGCATTTAATGTTGTTTTTTATAGTTCAGTGCATGCATTGCATATATTTGATTGAAGAACAACAACAACAAACTATAAATAAATTAAAAGTGCATTGTATTGACTGCAAAGAATATTAATTTTCTTTGACCTTCATGAAACAATAATAGTTTTATTTAATTTAATTGATTTTGCTTTAATTAAACGCTTGGCAACATCTTAAATAGGCCGGAGCAACACAATGTGAAGTAGCCCAAGATAAATAAAAATAATTGAAAATTTGTAATGCAAACTAAAAACTATCTGTCAAACTGTAAAATGGTTTTCGCGCGTTTCCCGTTATTTAAATCCATTGAAACTTGACTTAACAGTGCCGTTAATTTTGCGAGCAGAGAACGTCTAGAACGGCAGACTGGAGGCCTCGCTCACATTGAAGCGCATTTTTGCCCGCAAAATTGCCTATAAATCGAAATCAAAATCTACACTAGCGGCCATGCGAACTAAACATTTAATATTGATACTAATCGGAGTGATAATCGCAACGCTCGTATTTATTGTGTTTGGACCCGCTGGCGAACCGAACGATTCCTTCAAGCACATTGTTGTGCAGACGCATCAGCAGTTCAAAGAGTTTCAGGTGAGTCCTCCGTCTCTCTCTCTCTCGCTCTCTCTCTCTTTCTATCTCTCTGTTAATAAGTTGCCAAACCCAACGTAACCAAATTTGTTTACACGTACCCAAACAGTTGAGGGGCGTAACTGTTATTGTAACTGTTGTTGTTTCTGTTGTTGCTGCTGTTATTGTTGCTGCTGTTGTTGCTGCTGCTGTTATTGTTGCTGCTGTTGTTGTTGTGATAACATGGTATGTTATCAGTGCAACTACGTGACAGCTTTCTTCTTGTACGCCAAGCAGATTTTTCCGTTTTCATTGAGCAATATTTTGCGCTTATCAGCCGCTCTCAAGCAGTTTGATATATAATATTAATATACATTAAATAATGTCAAGAATTCGATTTATTAAATTCATAAATTTGAATTTGAATTTGGGTTTTCCTTGCATGACTCATTTCAAGGGATTGCCAAATATTATCTGTTAGCATAGCTCAATGGTTGTCAACTATAAACCAATGTCAAGTGCGACTTGTTTGTATTTTTTTTTTTTTTTTTTTTTTTTTTTTTTGTATATTTTTTGGCAAATGATAATACAAACTAGCTGCCAGCTGGCATAAAGAGTCAGATATGGGTAGAGGGTCTGCAAATGAACTGTTCGAACTGTGGATTGTCAAGCATTTTGTGCTTACCCTTACACCTTGTACAAAGGGTTGGAAGAGGAGTGTATGCAAATGTTATAGGCAGCTTGTAATAAACACAGATTGAGATAACCCGAAGATATGTAGAGGGTATTGTATAGTCGGCCTCTTGTTCTTTATTCAGGAGGGCTTTTAGCTAAATTGAAACACGTCTCCGGTTGAAGAGTGCTGGCAAGAATAACCGGGCAGCCAGGCAGTTAGACAGTCCGACAGTCGGACAGTCGACTGGCCAAGGCAAGGCAAACAAGTAAATGACCCAAAAGATATCATCATTTGGCTGGCATGCCTGCCAATGTCCAATGTCCGTCTATCATCATTTGCCGGTGTGCCCACGGCATTCCTCAAGTTCCGGGCATTAGTTAAGCGAGGTCTTTAACTTTTCCAGCTGTTTGTTTACATGCAACTTCCAAACGAAACTTTCATTCTCACATTTCAAACATTCATAACATATGTTTTCACATATATGAAAGCTCACATACATACCTACCTATGTATATAACGATTGAGCTAGCGGCTTCCTTGACTCGAGTTTTGTTTACCTTAATTTTGTGTGGCCAGAACGTTTATTGTTTACTTTAATTAGATTGCGGCAACCACTTTCCGTATCCCAGCCCCAGCCCCAGCCCCGGCGTGCATATTAAATATCATGTTTTCAGCGGTTTTACTTTGAGTAACTTTTTAGCCTAACTCAGTTTTGAATTACATAAAGTAACACGCAAATGAAATATAAATTCGTGCCGCAAATAAGTGGGGAAATATCTATTTGTCATAATATGCTGCCGCATATCATATTTGCTCCAGTAGATATTGGATACGTAATATCGCAAGGCGAGATCGCCAACAACAGTTTGTGTTATCTGCTGTTTGAGTAAAATGTGCTGCATCGACTGCTTATCTGAATCTAATCACTTGAATATAAGCCCCATATAAGCCCTACAAAAACATAAAAATAAAAGAAAAATAATTATATATCTTTTTACTTAAATCATGCATTGTTTTTTGCGTGTGACTAACAATTCATTTAGGTTTTGTTTTCCAGCATTTTACATAAATATAGATCTACTCTTAATACTCTTGAAGAAGAATGTAGACGTTTAACCCATTAAGTATATACATATATACCACAGCCTGAATTGCCTTAACATATTTTCCCTTTTTATATGTACATATGTGTATTATTCACGGCTAAGAATTTTCATACATAGGTATATTCATAGTTAATCACACACAAAAGTTTAAAGCGTATTTGTGTGCCAACACAACATGTTATTACAACAATAACAATTGAAGCATGAAAACATGTGGGTCTTACTTCAAATCATGAGAATCGCAGAGAGGAGCAAAAAGCATGAAGCACTAACTGGGGTCGTTATACATGTATAGGATATATATTATTGCTCAGCATCAATAACCGAGTACCGAGTCGTGTTTTAAATGAAATATTGTGGCTTGCCTTGTGCTTTGTATGTTCCTATAGATCGGACAATAAGGCCCGATGCTATGCATGAAACCTTTTTTGTTCATTGAGTGCTTTGGCTGCTCGCTGAGTCCAGGGTATTTGCTAGCCGGGCACTCCCGACTAGAGCACTCTTGCTGCTGCTGTTAGTTTTCTTTTGCTGAACAGCTTCGTTGTTTGTTTGTTTACCTAATATATATATTTTGAACAGAGAAAACATATCGACTTGATGTTTGCGTATATGGATGCATAATTGGTATACATGTGTTGCTAAACTTGTTCTCACCATCTAAAACCAAAAGTCACAGACAACAGACAACAGAGAGCTCATTGTATTTCATTAGTCTCTATTTATTATCATTGTGGCTATCCATAACTGGTTTGCCAGGCCGCACTTACTTACGATAGGTCGTGTTACAGTTGCACATGATGATTTCTATTATCACAAATACAGGTGCAGGTAGGTGTGCATATATAGAGAGAGCTCATCCATATTCAATACTGTCTACTGCGTGGCCAATTGAACCAAATTCTAGCAGCTCAACCCCTTTTGGTACCGCCTCCGTCTTGCGTAAGACACATTGGGTTTGTTGTTGACAACTAAAAAGGTGCTTCAGAAACTGTCAAGTATCCGCAAGCTACTCACGCATCCAGCACAATGATGACGAATAATAAATTGCAATGATCATTGTCGTTCGATGCAGTGTCGGTTAAACTGACGTCAAGTGCTAAAAGCCGCGGGTTGCCCGCTTTCTGGAAACAATTCACAGTACACACAAATAAACCTATAGTGTGTACCGACATATTTCAATTCTCACAATATCGCCACTTATTATACCCTTTCGATGGGGTATACGAATTTTATCAACACAGCTGCGTAGCATATCTATTGAATTGTTCTGCTTGGAATCCCATCCTACTCCAGCAGGCCTCCTCAACTTGATCCTTTGATCTATTGAATGCTTTTTTTCCTATTTATTGAATTTTCTTAAATAATATAGAAAATTGAGATTGTTTTTAGTTCTTACTGAAGACTATTATTTTCTCTACTAACATCTGCCTTCAAAATAGGCTGTGAAAAGGGGCCCGGACGGCCAAATAAAACACCTTCAACGTGTCGCTGATGCTATTAGAAAATTGTGTATTCTAAGGTTTTTCGCATTCACTTTTCATAATTGTATTTGTGCAAAATGCAAATGTATGTAACAGGCAGAAGGAAGCATCTCCGACCCCATAAAGTATATATATTCTTGATCAGCATCAATAGCCGAGTCGATCTAGCCATGTCCGTCTGTCTGTCCGTACGTCCGTCTGTCCGTATGTACGAACGCAAGGATCTGAGAACCTATAAGAGCTAGAGACTTGAAATTTTAGATGTAGATGCTCCTAGCTCCCGCGCAGATCGAGTTTGTTTCCGATAATCGATAACTTACTCCGTTTCGAAGCAATCGATAAAAATCGATATCGATATCCTGTTTTTTGGGCAATTTTGGTAAATAATAAGAGCTAGAGTCACCAAACTTGACATATAGCTTCTAAAATAGAATATATATATGCATTTGATGTTGGAAAAAGAGGGTTCAGGGTATCCCCTAGTCGGGAGCTCCCGTTTAGAACCTCTTACTTGTTTATGCATTAAATAGTTAGAATAAATAAATATTCTGCATTTAGTATCAATAGCCTTATATTAGTCTATCTAGTCTCTCGGCTGCAATAATCTTTTTGAACCTGTATAGAAATATATCCTGGTTGAACAAATCGGCCAGCTTTATCATATAGAAATCGGTCAGAAATTGAGTTTTTGTATTTCGCAGCCCAACCCTGCTAAGTAAAGAAATATGCCTGTTTGTGTAAGGGTATGAAAACTACAGAAAAAATAAGTCTGTTTCTTGTTTTAGCTAACTACGAGTTTTATATAAATGTGCTGATGCAAGCGTGTCCAATTAAAGTTCTCCAGCTTTCCAATGGGAAACACACAGGTGTTGTGATATATATATATTTTTCTAGACGTAGCTAAGGGTTGGAATATTGGACCTCATCATACATAATTTTTTATGTTCCCTTTTAAAACGACAAATTTAGCCAACCTTTTTATCGAGCTGTGACATTCATCGACAAGTTGTGCCTGGAAAAGTAATATAATATGAGACTTTACAAATTGAATACGTGTTATCTTTAATCTTAATGTGGCAGTATTCAAATCAATTGGTAATTATACATTTTATGGAAATTTCTGTGCCCTAATCTACTTTAATTGACATCAAAGTCATTTGGCCACTTAAAGTGTTCCATCGTCTAACGTCCAACAACTGACCTCTGACTCCTGAACCGTTGACATCAATTAATTGCAGGGTTCGCAGTGAAATGTGCCGTCTATTTAGTTTACATTTACAGCTCGCCCGCGACACGACCTTTCATATCGACGCTCGATATTGTTTAATAATTGAATATAATATAGCACAAATGAGCTTTCGATGACCTAGACGAGCCCAACAGCCGGCTGGCCTGGCTTCAAAGTGCATACGAAAGTTTCAAGGTGACAAACTAAGCAGAAGACAAAAGAGTTCCGTTGACAACTAGAGTGCGCCAGTCAAGCGTGCCCGACTAGTAGATGCCCTGTATCCAGTACTTTGCTGTCCAAGCTACTCCGTTCATACACCTTGGTGAGTGTAGAAATGACTGTGCGAACTATTAGATTGCCAAGTGGAGCCTCTGAGTATAGTCTAGCTGCCAGTCGGAGCCTCCAAGTAGAGTATATGCATTCGGATGACCTGAGCGGCGTTTTTGATACAATGCGCAACTCCAAGCTCTTTGCTTCAAATATTAAAATTGTGATTGTAATCAGGATTGTTAATTTTTTACTAGAATGTACAATTGCTGCATAAAGTTGCCCTGTGTGTGTGTGTGTGAGTGTGTGAGTGTGTAATGGCGCCTTGCCTCTGCTCCGAGGTGCCATTAGGCACATGCGGACATTTCGAGTCACGCGCGACCAACCCAAACGAAATTCCACATTCAATTTGTTGTTCACGTGCAGCACAGGATGGCAAAAAAACAAAATTAAATAAATATGGATAGTACACTCTACGCTCTACGTGTTACCCTGGAAAAACCAAATGTTTAAAGCAATGTTTCGTATCGAAGATACCTTGGAAAACATAACTATATTGAGTTGTCCAATGCGGCTACAAATCCTCTGCCCAATCCAAGTCTCTAGTAACTGATTTGCATGGAAACAGACAGGCGGGAATATAATACCCTGTAAAAGGGTATAGAAAAGATTATATTGCCGACTTGCAGGAGCTGCGTGTCATGGCCTGGCCTGGCCTGGCCTGGCTTTATTGGGGCAGCTACACAAATGAAATGCTTTAGCAATGTTAAGTGGGCTCGCCATGTGTGCAATTAAAGGTGCTTTAAGGGTGGTTCAGGTGTGTATTTAACTATATTGTTGAGAACTGAGAACTGATTAATAGGCTGAGCAATTGCATATGCTTGCTGTTAGTTCTTAACGCCATTAACAAAGTCTTGAAAGGTTATTTTGCCATCGTTGTCGGCATCGATTTCCTTCATCATATCGTTGAACTCCTCGTCGGTGCATCGTTCACCTAGATTGAACATAACATTACGCATCTCGATGGGCGCTATAATGCCATCCTCATCGCGATCGAACAGCTTGAATATTGCCATTAGATTCTCCTCCTTGGAAAGGCCATCCATGCGTTTCGCTATCATTTGTTGAAACTCAAAAAAGTCTATCTCACCATCACCATCGAGATCAATCTCATCGATCAGATCGTACAGCTCCGCCTCTGTGGGACAGTATCCAAGCGAGCGCATCGCAATGCCCATTTGCTTGCCCGTAATTTTGCCCGTGTTATTTTGATCGAAAACCCTAAATGCATCGCGTATCTCATTTAATTGGTCTTCGGTCAATACGATGCCTCCAACAGCCTCCATAGTTCGTTATATTCGAAGATTTTTTGGAATTTTTTTTTTTGAAATCAGCTAAATATAATTTTGTGTGCTATATTTGTAGTGTTGTTGATTCCTTTTGAATAGGTAAACTAGATTCATATTTGAAAATTTTGGACTACTTTGCAGCCGGATAAAATCGATATATTCTTAAGGCCGAACTCTCAATATTCAACTATGATGGATCGTAACGATGATGCATAAATAAAAAAATATTGAGAATGCGACCCTAACTGAATGTAATATAACAATACGAATTTTGCACTGCGCTCCAAATATGAATATTATTATTATGTTAACTCTCGTCCAATGAGGTCATCATGTTGGCGAATTCTTCGTACAACAAAACCCCATCGCCGTCTAGGTCCGCCTCGCGAATCATTTCCTCAATCTCCTCATCGGACACTTTCATGCCAATTAATGCAAAAATTGTGCGCAATTCAGCTGCCGAAATGAAGCCATTGTTGTCCTTGTCGTACAATGTAAATGTCTCGCGCAGATCCTCGGGCCGATCCGTATCGGACATTCGGCGTAACAGTATTTTAGTGAACTCGTTAAAGTCCAGAGAACCATTGCCATCCTCGTCCGACTCATTGATCATGTCATGGATAACCCCATCGGGCAGATTGCCGCCCAATGCGCGCAGGACAACGCTCAGCTCCTTGTAGGTAACGCTGCCATCCTGTTCAACGTCAATAATGTTGAACAACTCTTGAAAAACTGCCAATTGGCACTTTGTCAATTCCTCCATTCCTGTGTGCTCCTATCTATTTTTTTTCCAGTTTTTAATTAATTTTCTTAAAAAGTTTTATTTTTTTTTTTTGGGTTATTTTTATTTTTTTTGTGTTTTTTTTTTTTTTAATTTATTTTCTTATTTATAGCATAGTTTTTTAATGTATTTTTTGTTTTTTTATGTTTGTGTTATTTTTTTGTGCTTAGTTTGTTGTTTTCTTTTGAGAATAGAGTGTAATAATAATATTTGTTAGTTTAACATATTTGAGCACAACTTGTGCTCCTGAAATTTAAAGCCTGTGCTACTCTTGGGAGTATTCGAATGGAAGCTCGAAAAACCATCTTGTTTCTGGGAAACAAGTAAGAGGTTCTAGTAGGGAGCTCCCGACTAGGGGATACCCCGAACCCTCTTCTAACATCAAATGCCTATATATATTACTATTCTAGAAGCTATATGTCAGGTTTGGTGACTCTAGCTCTTATTATTTATCAAAATTTCCCAAAAAACAGAATATCGATATCGATATCGATTTTTTATCGATTGCTTAGAAATGGAGTAAGTTACCGATTATCGGAAACAAACTCGATTTGCGCAGGCGCTAGGAGGACCTACATCTAAAATTTCTCTAGCTCTTGTAGGTTCTGAGATCCTTGCGTTCATACATACGGACAGACAGACGGAAGGACGGACGGACAGACAGACAGACATGGCTAGATCGACTCGGCTATTGATGCTGATCAAGTATATATATACTTTATGGGGTCGGAGAAGCTTCCTTCTGCCTGTTACATACATTTGGATTTTGCACAAATACAATACACCCGTATACCCTTATTTTTAAAGGGTTCAGGGTATAAAAACAATGTCCATAATGCAATTTCCTAGAAAATCAATAAGCTAGCTGCTTGTGCACATGCATTTAAAGGAAACTGGGCAGAAGGTGGAAAATGTGCCCTGTTTCTTATAATTGAATTGTTGCATATAATTGAATTTGTTTGCAGTCAGAGAAATAGATAGCGGCTGTTTACGAATATATATATATATATATGCCTTATGAAGTCGGCTCAAAATAAAATTCCCTTACATGTTTGTGAAAACTTCTTATCGTGGGTTAATTTTTCTCGTGTTTGTTTTCTTTTGAATTCTTGACTCAGATTTGCGACGTGCACAGCCCGCATTTAATGCTCAAGTCAAATCTGTATTGGCTTCAGAGAAATGCCCATTGATTCTAGAAATTATTTTGCATTTTGTGCAGTTACCAGTTTCAAGCAAATTGGGTCCAATGATTGAGGTTGAGCAGTCGCCAGCCTTGGCACACGATGTGGCCGGCAGGGAGAGGGAGAGCCAGCGGTCGGATGGAGGATGTCAGACTGTCATGCGATTTGCGGCAACGACAATCATAAAATGTTGGCTTATTTAGCCTTTTGGGCGGTGGCACCAGCACAATCAGTTTCGATTTGGGGAAAACAAATTCTTTACTGGCACATGACACGCCCGTTAGACTTGCAGGTATGAGTTAGGTAGGAAAAACCACGAAAAAATATTCCATTGTAAACAGCAGTTGGTACTGCGCCCATTGGGAACAATTTGGTTGCTCCACAATGATCGGAAAGAAATTGTGTGCTATTATCCTTGAGCACTGTTTACCCACGGAGCAGCTGCTAGAAAGATTACTCGCATATGAGCATTGTCCTAGAATTTGGATAATTTCGAGCCCATTTGTTTAGGTGTTGAACTAAAATATTGATTAATCGTCTTTCAACTATGCAAAGACCTCACTCTGTGGGGCATTCAATCCCCGAAATGTTAGATATTAGACGAACATTGTCTTTTTGGTTGGAAAGCCCTTTATGGAAAGCTGGTTCTTGTTATTTCCAAAATGTACAAAACTTTAGTTGATTTGTGCTTTGCTTTCAGGAGAACTTACGCGTTGGCCTGGAGCGCAAGAAACTCGAGCTAGAGCCAAAATATTTGGTGCTATTGGGATTCACGTCGCCGCTCACAAAGGATGATGCCTCTCAGCAGCCGCAGACAGACACGCCCGTCACGGCGAAGAGGGCGGCGCAGGAGATTGGCGAGTTGCAGCGTCAGCTGGGTACACGAGATGACACCAGGCAAATGTCAGCGGTAGCGTCAAATCCCCAGGGACAGGAGCAGCAGCAGCAGCAGCAGCAAAAGAGTCAGCGGAAACGCATTACGACGCCGTATAACGGCACAAAGGCCAACTTTACCATAGTCACCTATGTGCAGGAGGGACAGGTGTCATCGGCCATATTGTTGGCCCAAAACATTGCGGCCAAGCTGCCCAGCGAGTATTTGCTCATCTATGATCTGGGCGTGTCCGAGGAGCAGTTGCGTTCCCTGAACGCCTACTGCAATAACAGCCGGTGCGCTGTCATCACCTACGATCTGACGGAGTTTCCCTCGTTCGTCAACGATCAGCGTACGCACGCCTATCGCCCCATTGTGATAAAGGATGCCCTGATGCGGGCCAAATCGGTGCTGTTTACCGAAAACTATATGCGCATACGCGGCGGCTATCGGGAGCTGCAGGATCTGCAGAGTCGAGCGTTGGTCGCCGGCGTTTTGGGCTGGAATACACCGACAGCTGTTTCATCACGGACACATCCAAAGATGTTCGACTACTTTGAATCGGATGCGGAGGATTTTATATTTTTGCGTATGGTTGATCTCGATGCGGTCTTCTTTGCCGATACGCTCTTTGTCACAGACAAGATTATGCTGCCGTGGCTAAAATGCGCCCTTACCATGGAATGCATCGATCCAATTGGTAAGTGTTCGGTTTGTTTTTTTTTCTATGTGATGTCATTGGTTCTCAACAGTAGTTCCCTAACCCCACTCACCGCGCACCCAGTCAATCAAAGTCACATTCATAGCTCGCGCTCCACGTCCAACAGCTAACCGAGCGGCGACTGTGGGGCCCACAGCGCTAATGACCATCATTTGCAGCGCATTTAGCCGATGATAGCAAACGTGTCATACATGTATACATAATTGGGTCCACCAAACGCGAATCGGACATCTAATGTCCTTTCTCTGGGCAACCGTTAATGGAAAACGGCAATTAGGGAACGAAAAATCGATTGAATCAGAGGCTGTGTTTGAAGATTTACACAAAGGATTTCTGAATTTATTTTCGAATAAGCAAATTACGACAGGAAGTAGGATATATGGAATAGATTGTGATTTCGTTTTGAAAACAAAGTGGGGAATATGAAATAGGATATTCTATTTTATGTATCTATGTATTATGTTCTATCCATGTGTTCCGTTTTGTATGTCCCATATCCATATACTCTATTTCGCATTATTAGCATATTCCACTTGTGCGGCAATTTCGTATTAGCTCGATGAACATCACAAATGGTCCGAGCACAAGGTGCCTAATTAAAATCCACAAAAACTTGGGCACATCAGCGTGTATATTGACAGCGGCAAACACATACTCCTGCGGCTTAACATCGTAGCCATGATGGCCGCAGAGCATCAGATGTGTATCGTAGATAATATACCAGGCCTCCAGCGTACAACCGAACAGGCCAAGCAGCTTGAATAGCATGCCCAAAAAGTATGCCAACACCAGAAACAGTCCAAAAACCAAGAATATTATAATGACGCCCACACCATGAGAACATTTTAGTCTGTCCTGTTTAGTGTACAAAGCTACAGCTAACAGCTCGGTAATAACAATCAGTGGATATGCATGCAGCTGCAAAGGACAAGCATGTTAGATGTCGAACACAACATAGATTCATAGAATACGCACCCAACGTGTTTGACCGAACTGTATTAAATAGATACTCATGCTGATGGCGGTTGTGAGAGATGTCAACAGGAATACGCAGTAATTGTAGGGAGGATATCGTCGCCAATTCGGCCATAGATAGAGAAACGTGTACAAAATTAACAGCACCACAATTGTGACCACCCGTAAAAATAGCTGATTACGGGGAAACGTAAGGATAAACATAATCTCCGAGCAGGGCACGGCCAATGCAATCTCCAGCTGTGGATATTGTATACTAATAATCACATATATTCTAAATAGTTTCAACTGAACGACCTACCATTAGCAAATAATAAAAACGACGCACCAACTGACGCCTTGGTCGTATATCGGGTATATCGAATGCGTAGGTGCGTTCATCGAGCATAAGCTCACACTGTATGCTGACGTCTTGTGCTGTCGTTATAGGAAGGTTATCTAGATAGATATTGCAGGGGAATTTGTGTATTCAGATAGCAATACCTGCTTTGAGATCCCAGCCTTCACGAGACATTGTTATTTTAGTTTCGTTCGATTAATAACTAAATTATGCATAATAAAAAGGCTTAACCAAGAGCCGAGAACAATTTATTGTGATACAAAATCAGTACAAATTATTTGATATTTGTATCTGAATTGATAATAGGCTAATCGGTTATCTAATTGCTATTTGTTATCCTATCTACCTGTTAGGTGCCCAATCGAATGGCTGCAAATTTAACAAAAAGCCACTTTATCGTTATTCCGGCTGTCATGGCTATGATGCATCTGCTTTCAATATTGTTCTGGGACTGACATGGCATCTGGACGACTCAAAATACTCGTTGCCCAGCGACGCAAGGGAGAACATGTTCTACAAGGAGACGCTCGAGCAGGCGACCAAAATATTAGAAAGTCGTAGACGCAACAGCAGCGACACATCGGATCATCCATTCACGGAGGACTGAACAATTTGCAGCGGCAATTGTCTTTGATATACATCTAACATATTCCTTATTTGTATATACACACTCAGGAGCCGCTGGATCAAACTGCATATAATAAATAGCCTTTATTATTTAGACGAAGAAAACAAACATTACATTTACACAACTGCATACTTACGGTCAACTGCGCCAGATTATGTGAAACGTTTGAGAATATCAAGAGAAGTTCGTTGTATTTACAGTGATTTCAGCATAGAGTAGCTACATCATATACATAGATCAAATTTATACATAAATGTGTACTAGTGAACGTGCTATACTCTGTATAGGCGATTCGTGAGCAGAACAGCAGCCGGAGCAGCTTCTGTCCAGTAAATACGCCTTAGTTACTTATTTGTGTTATACTGAATACTATGGATATATTTTGTTTTATAATGATACTCTGCCTAACTTAAATACGATTATTTATGTAAATAATTAAAAGGAATTACATACGTTTTGTGATTGTATTTGATAGTTACACACATATTCATACATAATCAATACAAATAACTATATATAATAACATATATTAAATGTACTATAGAAAATGAGCCAAAAACGTTAGCTTAATAAAGGACAAAGTACAACAAAAATAATGCAACCAGTGTCTGTTCGCGATTTGAATTACCTAGTATAAAAACAAAATAGATTACTTTACTTAAAAGTCGTTGAAACAATGTTAAGATCAGGCCAAGAGTCTGATTAAGCGTTGGTTATAAACCCATTCAATATCGGCTAAATATATTTATTTTTCATCTGAATGTGCGTTTTGGCTTGCCATTTGATGGCCTTTATGTTTTGCTTAAATTAAAGCGTGCTTTTACAATTATGGGAGTCTTAATCTAAAATTATTTGGAATTCGTTTTTGTAAGTCAACTTTTAAGAAATCCTGTATACAATTAATAATAAATTCACATAGACATACACACGGCTGTGTAATTCGATTCATAATGTAAGCATTATGCAATATTTCTAAGTATCAAGCAAAAATCATTTACCTTCTGGCTAGACGCAATACATACAAGAAGATGCGCACCACATCTAAATACAATGTTAATGCCGCGAATATATAATCCTCCGGATTAAACTGATACTTGTGTGTGCCGCCAATTATCAATTGTGTATCATAGATTAGCAAGAAACTGGCCAGTAGAGCACCAAGGCATGAGACCGCCGTCTCACCGAAGGTTCCACGTAGAAATGCACCCGCAAAGGCAAGGATCAACAAACAGATAACAACCGTGATTATGACGCCGCCCCAGGCTGTGAAATCATATTTGGTTTGTATGGCGAATATGGACAGTGCCACAACTAACACCGCAGTTATACCCACAGCCAAGAGCACCACATTTGCGTCTAGAGTGCTGGCCACGGCGCCCAGGAGCAGGGACATCGTAGCCGTAAATAGGCCCAGACAGATGAAATTGATGGGAAAGTTGCGTCGAGCAGTTTCACAGCAGGCCATCGAGATCAGCACCACAATGTTGACGATCATGGCGACGCACACGACCATCGGCTTCTCCCGGACAAAGTGCTTTGTGGGCTCGTGATACACAAATATGGATATCACACCAAGGGTGACGAGCAATTGTGTCTACAAGTGCCAAACAGATGATTAGAGCAAATACATGAAATTTGATTAACTTCAGGCTTACCAAGAGAATAAAGTACACTTTTCGTATGAAGCCCTTGCGTATGGTTTGATCATTGAAAATGATATTCTTTGCCTGCAAGCTATCATCTGCATCTGCAAATCCAGGACTGTTGTGCATTATAATCTGCCCGCTCTCCAGAAATGGTGCCGGATTCGTAGTTTCCCTGTCGACTGCATTCGGATGATTCACGTTTTCTGCGGGCATCGTTTCTGGCCCGGCTGGCGGTGGCACTGGCAATGGTATCGGTGGATAGCGCTCACCATTGTTGAGGGGCTCTACGATTGAGAAGTATTCACATTAGCAGCTTGATAAGGGAAATTTCCCCTACCTAATTGTTGTTTATGTGTATCTCTGAATTCAAGGAATAAAATGAAATAAGAACTGCGTCATTCGCGCCGGGAAAAACACACACATATTGGGTACATACATATTATTTACATTTGCATGTAAACTCGCAGAACTCTGATTTCAAATGTTAAAAATTGATTTGAATGTTTTCTGGCAAATGAAAAGTGCACAATTTAAACTTGAAAATCATACTAATGCCAATGTATACATATGGAAATATATATATATATATATGTATTTTTGCAGATTATCAATTTTCCAAGAATGCATGTTTATGATTTTTTGCCACAGCAACTTACTTGCGACAGTAGTTAAATCTTTGGGCGTTTTCATACGGTTATACGACATAATTTTGATAGTTGTTTAAAGGTCGACTTAAATATATAGAAACACTTCTTATCTCTCTGGGTATTAGTTTCGTTCTGAGTGGACCAATTGGCACTGCTGTTCAAGCTGAAAGAGATGAGCGCGATCCGTGATTTTCATTTAAACAGGCACGAATTAAACAAGTTCTGAATAAGTTCTAACTGCAACACGTGCCGTGTTTTATATTATTTTCCTTGGCTCCGGTCATTGAAAATAAATCAAATTAACCACACAAACCATCTATTTAAGCAAACAAATGTAAATAATTTATTTTTCGTGTTGAAAGCTTTACATTGTGCATTTACCGTGCTATAAAACTCCTGCATATCTCTGGTCGTTCTGGGGCTGCCACGTTGGCGTTGCCCATCCGTTTCAAAAAGTAAGCGCGAAATTTGAAAATGAAAAAGCTTCTGTTAAGCACATGCAAGCATGCAAAATCCAACAAACTTCAGCCTAGTGCAGCAGCAGAGCAACGGATTATGGGGTAGTCAGTATAATTTGTGCCACAGCAATTGAAACACGTTTAAATCGAGCGAGCAACAGAAAACAAGTTTAGCGACCAAGACAACGAGCTACTGTGTACAAAAAGTAAAAGGGAGATACGCGTGTGTATAACTAGCAATGACTTTAATTGCGAAACTTTTCAATATTATGGTGATATTGTTGTGCGCACAACATGAACTGATCAAAATAAACGCATATGATCCAAATGATACCAAAATAGTTGAGTGTTGCCTGCCACCCGCTGGAATGTTTGAGGCCTTCTATCCGCGTGAAGTGGAGGGCATACCAAACAGTGCATCTCGGCCCGCTCACGGGCATGGCAGCTTCTTCAAGCATCGAAATCCTGCACTGGTGGACACAAAAAATGCAGCCGCCTATGGCTACCGCTTTGATGGGAAGCGGCGCTTCAATTTTGATTAGTTTGTAAGGTGTTCAACCATTGCAAATGTTCAAAAGCACATTCGAGAAAATAAAAAAAATTTCAATATGCATATTGTTTTTCAATTTTTACGATTAATATATCGATATATATCAAAATACAACCATGCGGTCTGAGTTCCATATGACATTTAGGATTGACAGTAGGAAAGAAGAAGAATATATTTTTTCTTCAAAAGTATGTCTTTGAAACAGATTTCTTGAACGCAGCAAAATTCAACATTTGAAATTGTAAATATAGTTGAAAACGCTCAAGGCCAGACCCAAATCACCTGCAAATCATGAACGTGAAAAGCTTCAGTATGCTGCAAATGCTAAAAAATTCTTGGCGCACGTAAGAATCGTGTGTGTTAGCATGGTCGTACAAAAACCCGGTAAAAATAAATGCATTTCATAATTGTTCAATTAGATTTCCACGGCGCTACGCCACAAAAGTAACCACTGTCGGTGGTGATGAAATTGGCAGTGGTACCGGAATTGGCCAAATCACCGGGCGCGTGCGAAGCAAAGACGGTGGCCCGCACAAGGTAAATAAGCCATCCAAGGAAATTGTTACGCATCTACCGCCACTAACCGAACCGCTGCCAAACTTGCCGGAGGCCATTTATGCCAACCCGTTGGTTGAGAGCGCCTCCACAAAGGTTACAACATTAATTAATGGTCTGCGCATTGCCTCGGAGCCGCGTTATGGACAATTCTGTACTGTGGGTCTGGTGCTGGACTCTGGACCACGCTACGAAGTAGCGTACCCTAGTGGCGTATCACATTTTCTTGAAAAGCTTGCGTTCAATGTAAGTGTCCCCCCCAAATAGTTTCAAACCTGTGTACCTTTCGAATTATATCTCTTCATCCATTCACAGTCAACAGTTAACTTTCCTAACAAGGATGCAATACTCAAAGAGTTGGAAAAGAACGGCGGTATTTGTGATTGCCAAAGCTCGCGAGATACCCTTATATATGCGGCCAGCATTGACAGCCGTGCTCTTGAGTCCGTTACCCGTTTGCTGGCTGATGTAACTTTGCGGCCCACGCTAAGCGAACAAGAAGTCAACCTAGCGCGTCGTGCTGTCAGCTTTGAGTTGGAGACGCTCGGAATGCGACCCGAGCAGGAACCAATACTCATGGACATGATTCACGCAGCCGCTTACAGAGACAATACACTAGGATTACCAAAGCTATGCCCGCCACAGAATCTGGACAGCATTGATCGCAACGTCTTAATGAACTATTTAAAATATCATCACTCGCCGGACCGCATGGTCATTGCTGGTGTTGGCGTAAGTTTAGCCGCAAGAGCATTACATCAATTTTTATAATGTTATTGAATAACTTTTTACTTTTCTCTAGGTGGATCACGAAGAGCTGGTGGAGCACGTAAGAAAATACTTTGTCGAAAATGAAGCGATTTGGATGAATGAAGAGTTGACAAACGCGGCTCCCAATCAAGTGGACACGTCAGTAGCACAGTACACGGGCGGTATAGTCAAAGTAAGCAACGATACCTTAACATAGGGATTTGCACAATTAATCTTGTAAACTTGAATAGGAGCATTGCGAAATTCCCATTTATGCGGCAGCTGGGCTGCCTGAACTGGCGCACGTTGTACTCGGCTTTGAGGGCTGTTCCCATCAAGATTCGGACTTTGTGCCATTGTGCGTGCTCAATATTATGATGGGCGGCGGTGGTTCGTTCTCCGCCGGTGGCCCTGGCAAGGGCATGTACTCACGTCTATACACGAAAGTCCTTAACCGTTACCATTGGATGTACAGTGCCACAGCGTACAATCATGCCTATGTGGACACTGGACTTTTCTGTATACACGGCAGTGCACCACCACAGCACATGCGCGACATGGTCGAGGTGCTCACTCGTGAACTAATGAACATGAGCGCCGAGCCCGGCAACGAAGAGTTAATGCGTTCCAAAATCCAACTGCAATCTATGCTGTTGATGAATCTGGAGTCCAGGCCAGTTGTGTTCGAAGATGTGGGCCGCCAAGTGCTGGTCACGGGTTATCGAAAGCGCCCCGAACACTTCATAAAGGAGATTGGTATGCAAATATATACACACATCAATTGCTATAACTATAAATGTCATAAATATTTCAGAAAAAGTAACAGCTGCCGACATTCAACGCGTGGCACAAAGACTGCTTAGCTCAGTACCGTCAGTGGCTGCGCGCGGAGACATTCAGAATTTGCCTGAGATGACAGATATAACAAGCGCACTCAATAGCAGTGGGCGCTCGCTTGGTCGCCGTTTATCGCTCTTTAAGTAAAGCTAAGCTACGCGAATTAATACGTTGTTGAATTCGTATTGCATTTTGTACCATAGCCATTCAAATCGATTTGATTTTGTTAAAATTTGCAATCTTCCCCCAACAAGTACTTGATTTTTTTTTACTTTTGTTATTATCAATTAGTTATTTGATGAACTCGATTTAGTTATAGTGCTTGATTTGCAATGCAATCGTTCAATAAAATTGAACTGAAGTACAGTGCAATCAATCTTACCACAACTCGAAGGACACCGTGCTAAGATCGCTTTTGCTATATTTATCATCAATGGACTAATTACAAGTTAACAAATTTACAATTATAATGATGACGAGGATACTGGAGAAATCGAAGCTTCCTGTAGACGAGGCCGTCGCTTTGGCGGTGTACTAGAACTGTCGGTATCACTACTGCTGCTGCTGCTGCTGCTACTTGCTCTCCTCGATATGTGAACTGGCGCTTAAATTGGAAAGGATCGAGTTCAATTAAAGATGCACTACTATGCAATCGATATTGTACTTACAAGTGGGTCTATTAGTAGCAACATTATCATCGTCATCATCTTCAGGCAATTCATCGCTGGATATATTCTCATGCATGCGATATTGTTTAGGCAAGTGGGACTCATCCTCAAGAGGCGGCGCATATTTAGGCTTCTTGACCCTATCGTCTTGGGGCTTATCGGCATCGGTATCCATTTCGCTGCCTGTTTGTTTCTTAATGCTCTTGGCAATGACACGCTTCTGATGGTCCAGCTGAGGAAACAAATCCCGCGAGTTCTCCAGCGCTTGCTTAGCCGCATTCATCTCTGCCTGTTGAATGGATGAGCCGCTGGCTGTGGCCAAACGCTTGGAGCGGAAATAAACAGCCACTTTGTACACGCGCGTATTTGTGGGTCCGCTAGCCTCGACCACCTTGTAGTATGGTATATCAGGCTCGCCGCCATCCATGGTGCGCAATGTGAGACAGCACTGTTGCAGCTTTGACTTGGGATCGTTCCAGTCCTGATTCATAATGAACAGCTGCAGGCGTGGGAAGAGGCAGACATGGCAGAACTGTTCGCAATAGAGCAGTCCCTTGTCGACATACAAAGCGCCCAAGAAGGCTTCCAGCAGATCAGCACGATCTTTGGTCTTCAAGTCGGCCTTGGGATTAGCATAGACGGCGTACTTAGGCATTCCCAAATCATCGCAGACAACGGCCTGTGTGCGATTGTTGACGAGTGAGGAGCGAAGCAGGGATAAATGACCCTCATGATGCTCCGGAAAATGACGGTATAAATATTCCGAGCAAATCAATTGCAACACAGTGTCGCCGAGAAACTCCAGCCGTTGATTGGAACCTAGCGTCAAGTGGGTAAAGCCAATCGAGCGATCGGTAAAGGCACGTGCCAGCAAACGAATATGTTTAAACTTAATGCCAATGGAATCCTCAAATTTGGTCAGATCCTTGAGGACACGATACGAATCAATGCAGCTACGATCGCCGAGCGGTTCCTGTTCCTGCAGCGGATGCTCCGGCAGATTTTTCCATATTTTCAACAGCTTCTCGTCCTGCCGAAACAGCGCATCGGTAAACACTTCATCGGCCACTTTGATGCCACCATCTAGGAGTAGAGCACCCATTAGGGCCTCAAAACAATTGGCCATGGCGTGACGAAGCTCTAGCTCATGACACAGATCGGAGCCGTGAGCATACAGCATGAATTCCTCGAGCTGTAATTTCTTTGCCAGCAAAGCCAGATGCTGATTCTGAACAATAGCCGCGCGGTAAGTGGCCAGGCCGCCCTCCTCTAACTCCGGAAACATGAAAAATAAATGTATGGAGCTCAGAAACTCGACAACAGCATCGCCAAGAAATTCCAGGCGTTCGTTATGCGTGATATTCGAAACAGTCTCGTGATCCTTGCCAAACCGAGACATTATGCTGACCAGCGTATTAATGCCACGCTTGCGTGTGTTCATATAGTGTATCTTTCGATCGCCGTATTCCGGCTGTCGTATTCCGCAATTCGTAAGTGAATTGCGCGCATGATCCGGATTAGTGCCATAGTTCTCCTTGTAGGATGGATGTGTCAATGCCAGTTGAAGCAAATAACGATTCTTGAACTTATAGCCAATGCTCTCCTCCAGCAAATCCAGAGACTTGTGAAAACGCAAATGCCCTGTGAGCACCGGTATGAGCATCGCATGCTGCACAATGTCGCACATAATGCCCGTGCGGTAGAAGCCCTCCGAGCTGATGGCCACGGTAATGTTACGCTTCATGCGTCCTTGCGTGCGCATCTCCTGCAGTCGCTGCTCCTTGTCCTCCAGCTTGCGCTTGTCTTTGAACGATGGCTTCGACATGTTTGCCATTAGATGACGAAATTTAACATATTCACGCCATGCCTTTTGATACTCGGGATTGCCCGCATAACTTAGTTGCGGTGGCCGTATGCCAAAGTGAACAATCGCCGGATGCGAGATGCCCGTCTCCCGATCCAAGCACTCTGGCAAATCAGAATTGTTGCGATCCAGCTGATCGACGCGCAGCGAACAAGGCTTATGCCCGGGCTTGGTCACCAGCATGCCCTTGATGAAGTCCACGTATTTTTGCCACTCATGCTGACTGATTTGGTTTAGGTGCAGCAGCTGTTGACGCTCCACCAGCTCGGCTGAATTGTCCAGTAGATACTTGAGCACCTCGCACATGGCAAGCACTTCTTTGCCGTTGTCGGGAAGCTCGCGCACAAAGCGCGGCAAGAAATGAAAGGCTGGACAGGATTCCTCGCCATTTATGGCGCCGTTTGGTATCAGATTGAAGTCAACCAGCTCCAGCAGCTCATGGAACAAATATTTAACTGAAACATAAAAATCAACTATCAAACTCCGAGACAACTAAAGTTATATGAAGCACACTCACAAAATAAATCCAATTCGCGTATGGTAAAGTTCTCGGGCATCTTCTCCTCGTCGTACTCAATAGTGTACTCAATGTTAAAGCGAATCACCTTACAGACAGGTAGATCGGTAAGCCGCACATGGGAAAGTAAAGAGAAGCCCTCGAAAAGGAACTCGTGCTCATCGTGCTTGATAATAGTCGGTGTCTTTGTCAGAAAGTTTGTGGGCGGCGATATGGTAATGCGATAATGGTAGAGGCTAGCCGCATTATTTGTATCCTTATCGCACAACGGATAGCCCTTTTCGCCGGGATAGATGCCGTGCCGTATGCCAATGCGTCGCGACTTGGCCGAACAGCGGCACAGCGGACCATCGTTCATCTCGCCGGCGTCGTTGTGCCACAGATCGGGATGTACCCGCTGCGGATGCTGCACCTTGCACGACAACTCTTCCATGCAGCAGTCCTGCTCAATTTTGAACGCATCCTCATCCGAGTCGGAATCAGAACTGGAGGAGCACGCCTCCGACTTGTGCTTGTGCTTGCACGCACGTCGTCGCGTTTTCCGCGCAGGCGGCACATAAACGGGCAAGGTCTGGCGCACACGGTCGGCGCGTTGAAGCAGCTCATCATCGAACAGAGCGCACAGTTTGTGCAGACGTGTCTTGGCCTTAACTTCATGCTCGGTCTTGGTGCGCTCATAGTAGAGCTCAGCGGGCGAAGAACGTACCCAGGACTCGGCAGGCACTTCTGCCTCGTTTAATGCGTTCATTTTCTTAATATAATCCTCCGGCTTTTCACAATAGTTAGAGCACCATTGGCGCAAAAGGCGATCACGTTCCGTTTCCAGCTTTGGCTGATTCGACGCCGATTCGCTCCAATCGCGCATGGATACGCCCTTAAAATTGGAGCGCCCTGGCGCGGGAGGGAACCCAGCACGCGGTTGTCGTGGATTATAGTAACGTGGTTCGTAGCGATTGCCGTAATTGTAGCCACCGTAGTTGCCTTGGTAGCTGGCATTGTTGTAGTTGGCGTATCTTTGATTGGGCGGTCGATAGTTTGGGGTGTAGTCATATCGTTCCTGATACTTGTACGAGTAGGAACTCTGTCCATATGTCTCATAGTCATATGAGCCAGCCGGCTGATGGTAGTTTGTATGTCCGTAACCCTCCTTGTATGAAAAGCTGTCATATGAATATGGGGCTGCGTACGGTGGCGGTGGTCCTGCAGCGTATGGCGCATAAGCCGGTCCAGCGTATTTAAAGTAATTTGTGGAAGAACTTTGAGCGTGGTAGGGATTATTCACACTCGAAAATTGCTGCGCGTAGTCAAAGGTGCTTGAAGTCGTCACATTCGGATCATTAATGCCAGGTGGGGCTTCGTTTTTTAAGCCGGGCGGCAACAGTTCCTCTGTTTTAGTTGGTGGTGGGGGAGGTGGTGGCGGAGGTTGCGTGGGAAACTCCTGCGGAGGCGGCAAAGGTGGCTGGTACATTATGTTTTAACAATATGTTTCTTGAGCTAGACTTTTTCGCCGAAAGTGACCATAATGGCAATACTTTCGGTAGCCCTTAAAGTTTGTTTACATCAGGGCTGGGTAGCTAACATGAACTTATTAGTGAGTGTTGTGAAACTAGTTCCGAAAGCAGTCTGGTTCAATGAACCAAATAGGTTGAAACATGTTCTGCCAAGCCATCGCACATGTTGATATTTAGTTTTAATTAAAAAATTAATCAACATGGATATAAACGGGCCAGAGCAACCTGCGGAGATTACGCTACGTAGCTGCCCCGGCACCACGCCTGGCACACCTCTAAGCAAAAACCAGTTGAAGAAGCAGCGGAAGCTAGCCGAAATGCTGGAACAGCGAAAGTTGCGGCGCCAGAAGGAGCGCGAGCGCCGAAAGGAGAAAAAGGCTGTGGCCAAGGCCAATGGGTTGCCGCTTAGTGCGGGACCCTCACGCAAGGAGCTGAAACGGCGGCAGCTATCGGCAACCAGTAGTCAGAGCTCTGCTGATGCGATCAGCGTAGCAATCGATTTGGACTACGATGACCTGATGCAGGAGCGAGATATTGCCAAGTGTGTGAAGCAATGTCTGCGTATCTATACGATCAATCGACGTGCAGCACAGCCGCTACGTTTGCACTTTACGGGCATTAAGCGCGAGGGACACATTCACGAATGCTTTAAGAAGAACGACGGCTGGGAAAACTGGCACGTGGACTACCACTTTGATCGCACGCACACGGAACTCTTCGACCAGAAGCAGTTGGTCTATTTAACCTGCGAATCGGATACGGTACTGGAGCATCCACAGCCCGGGCATACGTATGTGATTGGCGGCCTTGTCGATCACAACCATTTGAAGGGTCTGTGCCATCAACGTGCCACAAGTGCTGGACTCTTGACGGCGCGCCTGCCACTCAGCGAACACGTGGATATGAAGACACGTTCCGTGCTCAGCACCTTCCATGTGTTTGAGCTGCTAACACGCGTGGCAGCTGGGCAGGATTGGACGCAAGCGATTCTAGAAACTATTCCACAGCGTAAGGGTGCCAAAGCCAAGATTAGCTTAGGCACAAATGCGCAACTGAAGGAAGAGAAACCACGTGAGCCGCAGGAAGACGAACACAAAAATCAGCCAAAGGCAGAAAGTTGACCTCATTTGAAGTTGAAATTATTGTTTATTATAATTATTATTTGTAAATAAAAATCGTAATTAAATTGATTGAAGATACAACTTCGGTTGCGTACAACGAAAACAAATCAATTAAAATCCATAAAGTTGCTCTTAAAGCTAAGTTGTTAATGCCAAAATATAACTTTAAGAACGTGTGTGCGCCATAGTTGGACACTTAGCATACATAAACAAATAGTTAAAGGTTAATATAACTGAAAGGGTCTTGAATGTTGCACCTTTAAATATTTTTCTACAAGTCAAACATATAACTTAGAGCTAAATGTATATTCCCTATATGTATATGGTATCTATTCTAATTGAAGCAGCCGCTAAAACTACGCTGGACAAATTGTTTGCCGGCATTTCTTTCTACATGCTAAATGTATTTATGCTAGTCTAAATTTTACATAAGGCAGCATTACCTTGCACTGTGGGCAAGGACTTATAACTTGTTTACAAATATTTTGGAACTTGCCACGTTTACTCGCACTACAAATTCACAAAAACCATTTTTTTTCTTAGCATTCATAAGGTTAGATGCTTGTCAACTTAGCCTAGTTAATTAAATAGTTATACCCCAAAAGTATACACAAGCTGGCACAGAAAAAAAAATCTACATATACATTTCGTTTGGGCCCATCATCGATTGTGTGGACAACTTGTATGTGTTGTATCAAAAAGATTTCTCAAATAGTTAAAGCATTTTCAAACCAATGATTATCAACGGCCTTATCGATAAACTAACAACAAATGAACTTAGTCTAACATACAATCAGTACGGTTCTTAATGTGATTACAAGTAGGCACAAAATCTATATCGAAAAACCAAACCAAATTGGATGCTGTAAAGTGAACAAATTTTCTTACAGGCGATTGGACAAATAAGAAACGAATTAAACGGAAAATAGTTGGTGATTATATAAATGCAACTTAGGTCAAACCTGTAGGGACTACAGCGAACTAACAAACTATTGAATAAGAATAAAGGTGCGCCAGTAGCTAGACAAAAGATCTAGACAATCTTCATGGGCACATCGATGAGGCAGTCCGCTTCGAGACGACCGAGCGTTTTCTTAACACGCAGCGCGGTGAGACGCACCGTTGGATTCGGATGCCAGCACTCCTGCATAATTTTGGAGACGGTGGCAAGCACATCATCCTCCTGCCAGCGCAGCGGTATCGGCGGTCGGTAGCCCTTGGCGCACACAACGGCATGCATATCATCAAAGGTGGGATCGGAGGGCACGACGTCATGATAGGGCAACGCGTAGTCCTCGCAGGTGGTCGTCTTGGTGCCCGAAATTGGCGTATAGCAACGTCTTGCAATCTCCCATAGTACCAGGCCCACAGAGTACATGTCGGCGCGTTTAAATTCTTCGAATTGTTGCGGATTGAGTGTCTGGCTAAGGACCTCCGGTGCCATATAGCGTCGGGTGCCCACACGCGTATTCTGTGCAATGTGTATCTCATCCAGCTCCGAGATATATTTAACGGCTAGTCCAAAGTCAGCAATGGCGCACTGTCCGTTGCGCTTCACCAGTATATTCTTGCTCTTAACGTCCCTGTGCGCAATAGCCGGCTTGCCCGGCGTACCAAAGATCTCGTCGTGCAGATGGGCCAAGCCAGAGGCAAGCGAAAAGGCCAGCAGCTGTAGTTTCTGTGGATTGATCACCGATGTGGACAAGTAGTCGTGCAGGCTGCCCATCTCATGGTAGTCGGTGATCAAGAGCATTTGCGTCCAGCTTCCGTTACCCTTTATATCGGCGGCAATGAAGCCCAAAATATTCTCGTGTCGCATAAGGACCGTTTGGTATATTTCCGTTTCACGAAACCAGGATGCTTCCTCAGTGGTAAAGAAGGTCTTCACGGCAACACGCTCGTCGCGCCATTTTGCCAGCCACACCTCGCCGTAGCGACCCTTGCCCACCAGACGCACCATCTGGATCTGCTTGGCAATTGTACGCTGCACCAGCAGCGGTAAACCGGATCCTGATCCAGAACTTTGTTCCACCAGCTGTGAGATTTGCGAGTTGCACATGGAGTTTATAAGGCCGGGCTGTTTGCGCAGCTTCTCGCGGCGCTTATAGAACAGACAAAGTATAAAGAGCACCACAATAAAAACGGACATGCTCACAATGATGGAGGCGAACAGAGCTAGTGTGTGCACAGATTCACTGCTTACGGGCAACTCGGGCGCAGCTGTGGTCATCTTCGGCATGAATTCGGGCTGCAGCTCACGATTGCAGAAATCTTTATCTTCGCAGCAGGCAATATTCTTGCCATGAATGTGTGGCACAACCGCCACTTTACACATCAACAGGCCACCATTCTCCTCGGGCGGCATGCAGCCAAAAGTGCGCTCCTCCTCGTAGGTGCCAGTTATCTCATCGTATACCTCCTCGACGGCACTGAAGCAGCTGCCACCCGGCCGAGTCTCGCAGGTGCCGTTACTTACATTGTTCGGGCAGCTGCCATCGCAGTAGCAAATCATCGAGCGTGCATTATTTCTACGCTTTTCGTGATGGGCTGTGATTGCTGCACCGTTTAGCACAGCTGCAGCAGCAGTTTCAATAACTGCAACGTCTTCGTAGGCCCGAAATTCACCATTTTGAATTAGCACAAGCAACACAAAAACAATATAAATTGACGAAACACTTCGGTTCCACATTCTTAATGATATAACTTGTACAGAAAAACAGATTTTTTACTTTAGTTTATTAGCTTCTTTCTAGAGACGTGAGAAAAAAAACATCGGAGCATCGATCTATCGTATTCTTATGTCGCTTTAATTTTTGAAGCTAGTAAACAACTACTTTTGAATACTTGTACTTGTAACGGTTTGAGTAAATATCGCTAGGCCTTGGCATGCATCTACCTTGATTTGCTCACAATTAAATTGAGTTTTGCTAGGCATATGAAATATTGTTGAGAATATTAAGATGCTAAATTAAATTTAATTCTAAATATCGCTCTGTATAAATTTAGGATTTATTATATTCGAATTTCTTGTTCGATATTTTTTGACAGCTCTAATTCGAGAAATATCGCCCATCGCTAAAACCAAAAGTAGAACATTAGCCAGCACTGCAGAAGAAAAAACATTGCTAACCGGTAGAAAAGTTCCTTGCGGAAAAAAAAACGCTGCCCAAGTGCACAGTTTGTACAAAAAAGTTGCTTAGACAATGAAAATTAAACAACAAGTCATAAAAGTAAAAGACGTCAACAAGCGAAAGCTGCGAAATAAGGCATAAACAATGTCAGCAACGGCTCCAGATGCCGCCCAAGCAGCCGCCGAGGAGGCTTCGGCTCACGATTACATAGAGCTAAAATCTATGGAGGATGTGGAAGCCCTGGAGCAAAAACAGCTTTACGCGTACATAGAAAAGTTGCATGGCATTATTAGGAAATACGACACCAAGATCGCATCATATAAACAAAAGCTAAAACAATTCGTGAGTCTCAGTTACCAAGCAAGTTTTTAACGAACTATAATATAAACCAAACCCAATTGCAGCTGAACAAGGAATCAATAAGTTGCGGCGAAAAAAGCACGCAAGCGGCCAATGGCCATTCAGACGCAAATGGAGAGGAGGCACAAGCCGGAAAGGAACGTGAGTGTAAAAAGAGAACAATTTATTAATGCTATTAAATTCTACAATAACATATTTGTTGACCGATTTGCTAACTTTGGCTGCCGTTCACTTTGTTTTGCTGGCCACGGCGGCAACGAGCGCTGCGCCTCGTCCCGAACCATCCTCTGACAGCATAATATCGAACTCCTTGCCTGGCTTGACCAGTTTCTGCATCATTTCCCTGATGTAACCATCGAATTTTGGATGATAGCGGTACACAGAGCCATCTATGCCCACCACCACTCGGCGATCAATGATCTTGTTGATGAGGCCACTTATGCCAATAGCCACGAAGGTGGCAGCGCGCTTGGTCACACACTCGCAAATGTATTTGAGCTTCTGGCAATCCTCAACGGTGGTCTTTTCCACTCCGAACAGCTGCTTGATGATGCGTCTTGTGTTGGGAAACTCCGGAAACGAGTCGGCTTCAACTTCGGATATGTATTTGGTTTCAAAGATATCCACATTCTTTTGTAGCACAGCAACGAATGCTGCACGTTTTGTGTTCAGCTTGAAAATTTTATTCCGCTCGAGGGCGCGTAACAATACCAGACGCACCAGTTCACCCAAATACATGCCCGATGTCATTTTCTCGAACAGCTGTTCGGATCGGTTAATTGATTTTCTGTCCACCTCACGATCGTAGTCTGTGCGTACAAATTCCAGCTGTCCATGATCACCAAAGGCGCCCCACTCCACGTTAACAATGACCTGTTTCTGGATGCGCTTGAAGTCCGTATCTAGCAGATCCACATTATCCACATGCTCCACATAGCAGGCATTGCAGCCAGTGCCCACAATCACGCCCACACGACAGTCGGGATTGCGATGTGCGCAGGACATAAGCGTGCCGGTGGTGTCATTGAGTAACGCAACGACTGCAATTTCCGCATCGCCGCGTCGTTGAATGGCATCGTGCAACATCAAACCCACATCCTCACCCTCGACGCCGGGACAGTTAAAGCCCTTGGTCCAGCGCGTCAGCTTGGCCTCCCTGAGGCCCATCTGTATGCAGGGAAACGAAAACGTGAAACCGAGCGGCAGATAGGCATTATGCATGTCGTGCTTTGCCACAAACTTGGCCAGACATTCGGCTATGTGATCGAAGAGCTCCACGCCCGGCCCGACCATAAGATCCTTGGGCACAGCATAAATCTGTGACTCGACCGTCGCCTCGTGATGACCTTTGAGCGTAACGAGCAGCACCCGGAAGTTGGTACCGCCCAAATCAAGCGCCAGATACTTGCCCATCTCATCGCCCGTTGGCAAATCCTGCACATATGTGGGAAAGCATTTTGTGCTGGCCTGCTCATGTGTGGTGCGCCGCAAACCCTTGGCGATCTCGAGGCAGAAACGACTGTACACTTCTTGCACCTGATAATCGCTCAGCACAAAGGGTTGCATAAGTTCACGTATTTCCACATCGACCATTTTTGCTCTGATTAGCTGTTGCTTCTTTTTTGTTCCAACCGCCTGGCTCGAATAATGTGTAACGACTAACCAGACTAACCATCACCTGCCAATGGCGACGCCATCGTCAGCTTGCGCCGCACCTGATAAGAGTTAGCACAAAATTCGCATTGCATTCGCCCAGTCGTAGCAACAACTGTGCAATCTCTCTCCGCATCAATAGGAAATATATGAAATAAAAAACACCCAACTAAATCTGCTGAAACCTAATAGAAATACGCAACTTGTGCTGAACATCAGCTAATAAGTTGTGCCTGACAGCATATTTGATTGTAGTACGTTTTATAGTTTAGAGGCGTTTAACATGTTCTTTCGTTTTAGGGAAAGCTCTATAGAAGATGAACATTCAGATGACTTCAACTGAAAATTGTGGGCCGTGAAACAAATATTAATCATAAAAGAATATTTAAGTATTATTTTATTTTATTTTCATTTCGTTCTAATGTCTCAGTCTCCACTGTTATGGTTTATAATCTATCCCAAACTTTTCATTCTCGTTGTACAATTCAGTAATTACAATTTATACACTATTCAGAATTTAGACAGAATTTAGACCCGCTGACCTAACAAAACTCATAAAATCATACAAATAGTATATATTTAGCTATAGATAAGAGCTATTTAAACAAATAGTTTCGGTTCAAATGACTTTATTGGATGGTAACAACTTTTACACACGAACACCTTCGTTTACAAGATTGATCGCTACATCCGTTGCGTTTTAATCTTAATTATTTTATTATTTGAGCTATTGCAAAAAATTAAAAAAAAAATTTATTTATATATATACAGGCGCCAAGTGCGCGTCAATTGTGGTGCCTCGAAATAATGCCTGGGAGATTAGCGCCAGTTCCCGGTTTCAGTTGAGGGGCACAACATGATGTAAACAGGTTGACATTAGACACAGGCAGATGGTAAATAGGCGATAAGTTGGCCTTAGACTTAAATTGTGATTGTAAATTTTACTTAAAGACATATAAAAAAAATAATAATCAAGTATATAATTTGCAGTTTCGCCAACAGATGCCTTCAGTTTTGTGGATGAGATGCGTCAGGCGGCCAAGCATGCAGAGAACTTGAATAATTTTGTCTATGAACCGACATCGGGCATGTACTACGATCCCAAGACGGGCTACTACTACAATGCGGTAAGTAATTTACAGCAACGTAATCTTTATGACGTGCTGTGCCTTGCCGTGCCGTGCCGGGCCCTGCAGTAGCTTGTGCCTAGCGCGCTTGGTGACTTTTAGAGGTTATCGCGAATGATGAACCTACAACCACACCCCAAAGCAATGACAAACTAAATAATACTCTCTATGTAACAGGAATACGGTCTTTACTATGACGGCAATACGGGCTGTTATTATAGCTATGATCAGGCAAAAGATTCGTACGAGTTTCACTCGCAGGCTCAGGTGCAGGTGAGTGTGTGTGAGAAGCTAGATGTGAGACCTGACTGATTAAATTGATGACATTTCTCTTCCTCCTTCCTCCGTCAATGCAAGTGTGTGGCGCCGGGCGAGCGCCTCGATTATAGTAGCCTGTTAGCACGTTTTCGCAAACTAAGCATAGACCGAATGCGTAGCAATGCATTAGGTAAGAGCTGAGCATCAGAATGTGCGATAAAAACGCGGATTTCTTTTCTTCTCACTGGTTTCAGGCGAACAGTACGGCGGCAAAGGACGAAACAGGCAACGAGCAGCTGGAGGATGACAACGTGGACGATGATGTCGAGTTCGATGAATTTGGTGGCGTCATCACGGACAAGGCGACACTGCAGCAAATCAAAGCGGAAAAGCAAAAGTTGCGCGAGCGTGCGGCACGCAGCAAACGCAAGGCCAAACGGAAGCATAAGAAAAAGCAGAAGGAGCATCGTCACAAGTCCAAAAAGCGACACAAAGAACGCAACAGCAATGATGATAATGATGATGATGTTTCCGTTGATAAGAAGGCCAGTCGCAATCGTGCTCGCAAATCTCTTGATGTTGAAGACGGTGAACTGTCGCAATCGACGAGCAGCTCCAACTCCGATTCCAGCGACGAGGACAAAAGCAGCAGCAACAGCGACTGCGACAGCAGCGGCGTCCCGTTGTTCAAAGCCAACAGTCGCTTTCAAGGTGTTTAAAGAAATTCGCGTTTTTTTACTGATCATTTTATATCGTTGACTTTTGATTGGATTGATACTAATGTTTGCCCACCTACTCCATCCCACCTGCACAGACATTGCCAAGAAATATCCGCCCTCGCTACGCATCATTGTGCAGGAGACCAATGTGCCGGAGTTGACGGTGGGCAGCCTCCATTTGATTACCTATAAAGGCGGCACGCTGGGCCGTGAGGGCGCACACGATGTCATCATACCGGATGTGAATGTGAGCAAGTGCCATCTGAACTTTCACTACGATACCAAGCAGGCCATCTACAAATGTCGGGATCTGGGCTCGCGTAACGGCACTGTCTTGAACGGCGTGCGCATGTCCGAATCGAAGGCCGCCAGTGAGACGCTAGATCTCATGCATGGCAGTGTCTTGGGCATTGGGCAGACGAAGCTGCTGTGTCACGTGCATGAGGGCAACAGCACGTGTGGGTTATGTGAGCCCGGGCTGCTAATTGAGACACCAGCGCCGGCAGCAGCAACCGCGACAGCCAGCGGTAATGTATTAACACACAAGGAGCAGCTGAAGAAGCTGCAAAAGAAATACGGTTTAGAGAATGAAAGTAAGTGTGTTTAGTGAGTGTAAACGGGCCTTACCTAAATATTCTCTCTTAGAATTCGTGGAGGCGAGCGTCAATCCGAATCCAAATTATAATGATCGCAGTGCCCAGCGGCGCATCAAAGTGGGCAGCAGCACGGACAAGGAAAAAACCGAGGTGGCCTGTGTGCACACGTAAGCTGAGGCGTATATACCTGCTGTGTGGTTTGAGTTTAATTCGTTTGTTCGATTACAGTGAGATAGCCAGTTCCAACAAGGGCTTCAAAATGCTCAGCCAACTGGGCTGGCAAAAGGGCGAGACGCTGGGCAAAAGCAATCAGGGCCTCTTAACGCCTGTAAGTCGAATGCCAATAGAAACGCTATCTATTATTTATATTTTTATTTGCCAACAGATCAATGTGGTGGCCAACGAGGGCACCACCGGCCTGGGCAGCAGCGAGCCGCTGGCGAAGAGTGCCCCGCGTTCCATGGATAAACGAAAATTGGCCAATTTGAAGATAACGCAGGCGCGTTATCAGCGCGCGAATGACATATTTGTGGAGTCCGATGAGAGCGATTGAAAACGTAGTTTGATTTAAGTTTGAAACACATTTAATTAACAATTACTCATAAAATATGTGTACTCATAGGTATACAATATATATATAAGATATATCTATATATAAAGTATACAAGGGTGCATATCATATTATGTAATTCGAAAATCTTGCTATATAAGGTTAAGCTATCAGTCAATTAATTAATTTAGCTTCGCTCAAACACACAATAATTACAAAAAAAAAAACACATGGAAAAAATATGTTTAAAAACTAAAATAAATAAAATACATTTTGTTTAGATTGTGGTAAAAACTAAACTATAAACGTAAACGAAGTGCGTGTGCCAACCAATTTGTATATAAATTAATTATGAATTAGTTTTATGGTTACGTTTATATGTTTAATACAAAAGCCTCTTAAGATATGTGGTTTTCTCTTACCATGGATGTTGCAAAAGAATTGTTTTAATATATTAAACGTGTTGTTCTGGTTGTTGATTGTGTTGATAAATGCGCTAATACTTAGCCAAGTGCATATGTGTGTGTATATGGATGTACTGTATGTATGCTTGTATTGAATGTTGGCAGCAGCCTAAGGCCCTTGCATCGGTTTACAACACTAAACAAAACGCACAACGAGAATCTTTGGATGTTGGAACTACACAGAGATGCGCTATATATACGCACTATATATATATGTTAGTATATATGCTAATGTGATTTCTTGTTGATAATATTTCGCTAATTTGATCTAACATACGCCCGTAGCTCGGACGCCTATGAAATAGCCTGTGGCACACGAATCCTTGCGCATCTCGCACCATGAATTATATGTGTGATTGTTGTAGCCACAGATTTTATCCGCCCGGTATTGCTATGTGGGTAGGTATAAGAAAAATGTCCCGATATTAAGTTATTTCCCTTTATTTTTGTGACTAGCTTACCGTTCGCTGTTGCTTGCGTGCGCACTTGTAGCGGCAAGAGACGCACCGCGGCATGTGCGTCTGCAGGTCCACGAGGCAAGTATCCTTTGGGCCGCACTTGATGTCCGCACAGGTGAGGCGGTCCGCTGCAAAGAAAATAAATTTTACGAGTCATACATTTAAAGCAGCTCCACGCAAGTTTTTTTTTTTAGTTTTTGCATTTCCTGACTTTTTATGTCTGGCAATTTCAGTTGCTCGTTTAATGGCCCCTCGCGCATATCCTGGCCAAAAATCATGTGAACTTTGGCAGGTGTTGTTTCGAGATTTCTTGATGGCGACTGGCGGCTGGTAAAGCCACGAAATTCGTGTGTGCGTGTGTGCATGATTTTATACCCTGACATAGTAAACAAGTCTTGTGCATGCATATATGTACACACATACATACATATGTACACATATTTAAATATTAACATAAGTAAACATCATGCTTACATTTCCTGCTATTTTAATATTATGTGAAATGTTAAAATATGCTGGCAACGCCTAATTATGTTCAGGAGGCAATGATTAATTGCCTATGCACTTTACATATGGTTTACATTGCATTGTTTTAGACAAGGTGGCAACATAGTTATTATGTAATAAAATGTGACTCGGATTTGCAAGTGTTAAATTTCTCTAATTTCGTTGTGAATATGTTTAATAATAGATAAGTGAAGCTTAAAACAATGGCTTAAAACAGTGCTTATTATAAAACGTACAGTTTGCAGAGTATTTTAAGGGTGAGTGCTTTTATGACTTACATATGTATCTATGTATGCTGCCGAACCATTCTTAAACAACGCTTACAGCTATTTTGGCTTTTTAAATTGGGTGTTGTTTTCGTTGTTGTTGTTGTTGTTGTGGCACACTGCAATTTTCAACGCTGCCACATTATTCACACCACAGGCAATGGCCATGTGTACACGTACATATAATGTATGGAAGAGCCCGCCCCATTCCTGACATGCGCAAGACGGTAGCCAAGCCAAGTCAAGTCAACGCAAGGCAAGGCAAGGCAAGGCAGCCAAGCTGCGCAGCCGCACACACACACACACATACACACACACAAACACATATTGGAACTTAGCAACAATGTTGCAAAATGTTGCCCCGCGGCAAATGTGCGCAATTGCTTATTGGTTAAGGACGATGGAAGGGGGAAGGGGGGGGCGGGGGCTGGAGTCAGCGGGGCAGCTGCAGATATACTCTGCATAGCTCCTGGCTCTGGCGACGTTGCGTGAAAGGTTGACCGCCTGGCAATTCGAAACAGTTAAAGTTTATTAATTTCAACTGCCAATTTTCGCTGTAGTCTGGCAGCGTCCTTTGGCCCGCTGTACGCGGCCACGCCACAACGCACTTGTACTTGTTGATTGTGATGGATATGTATGTTGTTGGTGCTGGGCGGCATGGCTGCGCCGGCTGATAATGCCGTCACAATGCAAGCCAACTGTAATTTGTTATGTCGACGTGGTTTAATCAACGCCAGCGGCAGCCTGCGTCCATCCGGTTTTTACAGACGCGTCTAAGTCGACGCCGCTGCTGCTGCTGTTGGCTGGCGGAACTTATTGCAACATTGTGTGGCATGGCCAGAGATTCGTTGTGGTCGTATGGGTCACATACACAATGTGGACGGGACGAGACTGGACGGGACTGGACTGGACTGGACTGGGCTCAGCTGTCTGGCCATTTTGGCATTGCGTGTTGTTTAAGGTGATTTTAATACGATCGTAAACTTCAGCCGGCCCAGACGCAGCCAGCAGACGCTGAGCCAGACAAAAGTGACGTCGCGAACAGCGGTCGGTGGAGAGCGGCGGAGGGGGGGGGGGGGGGGGGTGGCTAGGGACACAAGCGAGACTCAACCGAACTGAACCGAACCGGACGGGCAGTTGCAATCACAGAACCTGCGTCGCCCCCATCTCTCTACTCCCGTCTGCCGTCTCCGAACTCCCTGTCTGCCGTCTCCCATCGCCCCGTCATCGCGAAAATGGCGTTTTTAATGGCTTGTACGTGTAGTCATATTTCTTAGGGGCAAACTTGCCCAGGCTGCGTCTGTGGTTGTGCTCGTTTTTGGGGGCTCTTATGGGCTCTTGATCGGGGCACAGGAAAATATTTATGTGAAAGCACACAAGCACACGAAAACCATAAACTTACTAACCATAAAGATAAAATGCTCAAAAACGCACAAAACACAAACTGAGAGCTATTGAATGTGTGTGTGTATGTATATATATATATATATATATATATATATGTATTATTTTATCGGCTGATGATCAACATGAAGTCGAGGACAGCGCAGCAGACGGCGGCAGCAGGAACAGAAGCTGGCTGCAAAGGAGGAGCAGGAGCAGCAACTGAAGCCTCTGCATGCCGAGATCATCAGCAGGCAACAAACAAACAAACTGCACGCACACACGCACACGCACACACACACACACGCACACGCACACACGCACACACGCACGCACACACGCACGCATACACGCAAACCTTTGTGCTAAAAGCAAAAGTGAATAATTGTTAATGATGTTAATTTATTTTAATATCCGGCTACCGTGCAACAACTTGAGCAGGGTGGCAGGTTGCACCAAAAGGTGTGCAAAATTTATGAGTTTCTTTTAGCGCAGACAGCCAAACTAATCGCGTAGTTGGGGCAACAGCCTTGAAAAGTCGTCTTAAAGTATGAATGAATACATGAATGCATAACGGCTGGGCTATAAGTAAGTCAGACAGCTGCCAAATGAATAGAGGTATTTGAATGGGCTTAAAACTAAATATGGCAACATTATTGTTGGTCAAAGTTCATGTGAAATGTCCCATATCGACAAAGGTCAAAATTTCGGACGCCCTTTACCCGGTCAAAACTCATCTGATTTTCATGAGGTTTGGTTTTTTGTATATAGTTTTCCCTCTAGATTAATCTGGCATCCAAATCTGAACACAAAATTTTTGGTCGAAATTCATGTCAAAATCTTACCCCTTATATTCGCATATAGACATAGTTCGAAATTTCCCACCCCCATAACCAGGTCAAAACTCATCAGATTTTCATGAGGCTTGCCTTTTTGTATTCAGTTTTCCCTCTAGATTAATCTGGCATCCAAATCTGAACACAAAATTTTTGGTCGAAATTCATGTCAAAATCTTACCCCTTATATTCGTATATAGACATAGTTCGAAATTTCCCACTCCCATAACTCGGTCAAAACTCATCAGATTTTCATGAGGCTTGCCTTTTTGTATTCAGTTTTCCCGCTAGATTAATCTGGCATCCAAATCTGAACACAAAATTTTTGGTCGAAATTCATGTCAAAATCTTACCCCTTATATTCGTATATAGACATAGGTCGAAATTTCTCACTCCCATAACTCGGTGAAAACTCATCAGATTTTCATGAGGCTTGCCTTTTTGTATTCAGTTTTCCCTCTAGATTAATCTGGCATCCAAATCTGAACACAAAATTTTTGGTCGAAATTCATGTCAAAATCTTACCCCTTATATTCGTATATAGACATAGTTCGAAATTTCCCACCCCCATAACCAGGTCAAAACTCATCAGATTTTCATGAGGCTTGACTTTTTGTATTCAGTTTTCCCGCTAGATTAATCTGGCATCCAAATCTGAACACAAAATTTTTGGTCGAAATTCATGTCAAAATCTTACCCCTTATATTGGTATATAGACATAGGTCGAAATTTCCCACTCCCATAACTCGGTGAAAACTCATCAGATTTTCATGAGGCTTGCCTATTTGTATTCAGTTTTCCCTCTAGATTAATCTGGCATCCAAATCTGAACACAAAATTTTTGGTCGAAATTCATGTCAAAATCTTACCCCTTATATTGGTATATAGACATAGGTCGAAATTTCCCACTCCCATAACTCGGTGAAAACTCATCAGATTTTCATGAGGCTTGCCTTTTTGTATTCAGTTTTCCCTCTAGATTAATCTGGCATCCAAATCTGAATACATAATTTTTGGTCGAAATTCATGTCAAAATCTTACCCCTTATATTCGTATATAGACATAGTTCGAAATTTCCCACCCCCATAACCAGGTCAAAACTCATCAGATTTTCATGAGGCTTGCCTTTTTGTATTCAGTTTTCCTTCTAGATTAATCTGGCATCCAAATCTGAATACAAAATTTTTGGTCGAAATTCATGTCAAAATCTTACCCCTTATATTCGTATATAGACATAGTTCGAAATTTCCCACCCCCATAACCAGGTCAAAACTCATCAGATTTTCATGAGGCTTGACTTTTTGTATTCAGTTTTCCCGCTAGATTAATCTGGCATCCAAATCTGAACACAACATTTTTGGTCGAAATTCATGTCAAAATCTTACCCCTTATATTCGTATATAGACATAGTTCGAAATTTCCCACCCCCATAACCAGGTCAAAACTCATCAGATTTTCATGAGGCTTGCCTTTTTGTATTCAGTTTTCCCTCTAGATTAATCTGGCATCCAAATCTGAATACAAAATTTTTGGTCGAAATTCATGTCAAAATCTTACCCCTTATATTCGTATATAGACATAGGTCGAAACTTCCCACTCCCATAACTCGGTGAAAACTCATCAGATTTTCATGAGGCTTGCCTATTTGTATTCAGTTTTCCCTCTAGATTAATCTGGCATCCAAATCTGAACACAAAATTTTTGGTCGAAATTCATGTCAAAATCTTACCCCTTATATTGGTATATAGACATAGGTCGAAATTTCCCACTCCCATAACTCGGTGAAAACTCATCAGATTTTCATGAGGCTTGCCTTTTTGTATTCAGTTTTCCCTCTAGATTAATCTGGCATCCAAATCTGAATACATAATTTTTGGTCGAAATTCATGTCAAAATCTTACCCCTTATATTCGTATATAGACATAGTTCGAAATTTCCCACCCCCATAACCAGGTCAAAACTCATCAGATTTTCATGAGGCTTGCCTTTTTGTATTCAGTTTTCCTTCTAGATTAATCTGGCATCCAAATCTGAATACAAAATTTTTGGTCGAAATTCATGTCAAAATCTTACCCCTTATATTCGTATATAGACATAGTTCGAAATTTCCCACCCCCATAACCAGGTCAAAACTCA